CGTCAGGCTTGGGTAATACCTTAATTTTATAGGTCTCAAAGATGATGTTAGTTTCTTAGTGACACCTATTTGATACCTGAGTTGTTACCAAATAACTATTTTATTTCCACCTGGATACTTTAAAGAAATTATCTGTATATTAAAAATCCATTGGGGCTAATTGTCTCTTGGTAGATAGACTTGGCAAAGAGACCAAAATCAAATGGCCTATGTGATTCAACTCCCTTCTGAACTAGATGAGTTTCTCGGTAATTCATCAATCAATGGATTGCCCTAGAGTCAGACAAACCTGAGTTCAAATCCGAACTCCAACATTTACTAGCTGTGTGACCCTAGGCAAGTCATTTAACCCGATTGCCTCCAAAGAAGAATAATAATAATTCATTGATCATTTGTAAGCAAATACTATATGCAAAGCATCATAAAAAGCCCAGGAATACAAAGATGAAAATTAACACAGTCCTTGCTCTCAAGGAGGCCAGGTAGAATTAAAGTCCATTCACATCACTGCATGAGTAGCCTACACTGAACTAGCCATAGTAAATAGAGATTCCAAATAGGGGTGATAAAACTCAAAGTTAGCAAAGAAAGCTAAGGATGACAAAAATCATTTGTTTTTTAGTTATAGGGGAGAAGAAGAAAATCACAGGAGGGCTCTGACCACTCTTTAGGGGTAAATGGGAAGACAGTAATAGACAGTGAATTAAACAGAGCTACTAAACTCTTTTAAGTTTCTGCTTTCTCTACCACGGAGAATGGTCTTTGGATTGGAAAGGAAAAAGGAAAGTAAGATAATAGAGTGAACCTAGCTGTCCTGGAGATGTTCAGATCACTTGGCTCAGATGAACTACATCCTGGAGGATGAAAAATGGAAGATGTGATTTCTGAGCCATTGTCAGTAGTCTTTGAAAGGTCATGGAAATGTGAGAGAAAATGAGACTATTGGATAAGGGATAAATGTCCCAATTTTCAAAAAAAAAAAAAAAAAAAAAAGGAAAGGAATGGAATCTTTCAACTGTAGGCCAGTAAGCTTGACTTTGATTCCTGAAAAACTTCTAGGATGTATTCTTAATGAGTTGAACATCTAGGGGAAAAAGTGGCTAGCACAGAGCCAGCAGATTTTGCTTTTGTTTTATCAAAACCAGGTCAAGCCTTATGAACCGCATTTCCCTTTTTGACAAGGTGGCTAAACTTGCAGGGTAATGGCCAGAGTGGTGGATTTGGAGTCAGGAAGACCCTGTCCACTTCTGCCTCTGCCATGTGCATATCAATAACCCTCTTTAAGCATAAAACAATTCATGACATGTTTCTACTGATTGACTGCTGGTTGTGAGCTGTGCTGGTATCTATGGATGGGATTGCCCATCTCTGACACTGACTAAACTGGAGTGCCAGGGGAATGCTGTCTCTTGGTAGAGTAACCTCACAAGGCACTTGATAAAATCACTGATGCTGATCTTATGGCCAAGATGGAGATTTGTGGGCTAGACAGGACTACAGTTAAGTGAACCCAGGACTGGTTGGCTAAAACCAAAGTCTAGTTAATAATTATTTTGTGTCACCTTGTGGGAGGAGGTCTTCATGGAGGAGCTGGCTGTACGATTTAACATTTTTATCACTGATTTAGATAAAATCATTGAAGTGTGCTTATCAATTTTTATTTTAAAATGTTATTAATATCTTTTGTTTTTATCATCCTCATTTCTTAATCCTCTACTCAAAAAGCCATTACTTATGGCAAAGAATAAAGAAAGAAATTTTTAAAAAGATTCAATGAAACTAATCAACACGTTAACCAAGGTGGACAGCATATGCAATGTTATATACATCCATAATTCTCAGCATCTGTAAAGAAGGGAGGGAGGCACATTGGAATATCTCTTCTTGGTCTGGTTTGTTCATTATTCTTACGCAGCTGGGAAAAGAAAGGGAATAAGCATTTACATAGCACCTACTATTTGCCAGGCACCATGCTTAGTGATTTTTACAAATATTATCTCATTTCATCCTCACAACAACTCTAGGAAGTAGGTACTATTATTATCCCCATTTTACAGATGAGGAAACTGAGGCAGACAGAGGTTAAATTGCTTGCCCAGGGTCACATAGCTAATAAGTGTCTGAGGGCAGATTTGAACTAAGGTCTGTGCACTGTGCCACCTAGCTACCTTTACACAGCACTCAATTTCATTTTTTTTTCCAATTTTACAATGTTGTAGTTATTTATATTTTCTTGGTTCTATTTGTTTCTCTTTGCATCAGTTCATATAAGTCTGCCCATGTTTCTCTGTTTTCTTTCTATTCATCATTTCTTATAGCATAGCAATATTCTATTAAATTCATGCATCGCAATTTGTTTGGCCTTTCCCTAATATATCAGGACTTGTGTTGTTTCCAGTTCTTTCTACTACAAAAAAATGCTGTTGGTATATATGAGACCTTTCTATCTTTGACCTATTTGGAATATGTGCTTAGCAATGGGGTCTCTGAAGCAAAGGATATCAGCCTTTTAGTTACTTTCTTAACATAATTTCACATTGCTTTTATAAATGGTTAGACCAATGCACAGCTCTGCCAACAGCGTATAACTGACTGTTTTCTGCAATCTCCTCCAGCATCTGTTGTCTATTAATTTTGCTGGGTGTGATGTAAAACCTCAGAATTATATTGATTTTCATCTCTTATTTTTAGTGATTTGGAGTAATATTCCATATCATATATTTTGTATCAGATCTTTTTCAGAAATATTTGACACAAATTTTCCTTGGTTGACCACTTCTCTTATCTTCGTTGTAATGATTTTGTTCATGCAAAACTTTTCAATTTCTTGTTATTTAAATTATCTTTTCTTTCTTTTTTTTTTTTAATTTTCACCTGTCACAGAGTCAGAGATTTAGAGCTGGCAGTCACTTTAGAAGCCATCTACTGCCCAATGTTTTTGATTTATGGTTGATGAAACTGAGACCCAGAGAGGTTAAGGGACTTACTGAAGGTCACCAAGGCAATAGAAATGGCAAAGCTGGGATTTTGGAATTTGAGCCTGGGCCTTCCAAATCCAAATCTAGCAGACCTTCAACTGCATTATGTTGCCTCTCTGGTCCTTGAGTGATTAAGAGTTCTTCCCTTATGTATTTTGTTTTGCTTTGTTTATTTATTACAAGAGAGGACTTATATTTGGATGAAAGGATGGAAAGAGTCGGGGTGGCAGTAATGTTTGCAGCATACCTAGTGGATGGAGTACAGCTTTAGAGTCATGAAGGCCTGAATTCAAATGCTGCCTCAGTCACTTAAGTAGCTATGTGACTCTGGAAAAGTTAACCTCTCTTGAGTTTCAGTTCATAAGAGGAAATGAGAGGGTTAAACTAGGGGGCCTTTTGGCTCCCTTCCAATTCTAAATCTATGATGAAAATAAAAAGGCAAAAAAGAATAAATGAAAACTCTTTTAAAATACACAGAAGAAAGCAAATGAAAGTTCAGAAGGGGCCACGGCTGTTTGTCTGGCAATGTTATTACTACCACATTAAATTTCATATATTTCTTAAAAAGCTATATTTAATTGAGTCATGATTTCATATATAGTCCTCTTTTCTAGCTTTCTTATACATGAAAATATTCATTTTTTTTGGAGAATCTTCTAATTAATTTTTTAAAAAGAGAAAGAAGAAAAAATTCCCCCCACCTTACCCATAGCTATGAAATCCCATTTAGATCTAGCTATGAATCCCATTTAGATCGGCATCTTGGACAATGCGCCACAACACGTTCAAAATATATACCCACCCTGAATATACTGAAGATTCACAAAAGTCTTGACAAGGTACAAAGTTTGGCTAAGTCACAGAAGATGAATTTAATGGGGATCAATGCAAAATCTTACACAAGTTCCAAAAAAGAAATTATCTGTGAAGTACAAGATGCAAGAGACATAACTAGATAGCAGTTGGTCTGGAAAAGATATTGGGGGTCTTAGTGGACTTATAAGCGTCATATGAGTCAACAATATGATATGTCAGCCAAGAAAGTTGATGCCATGTAGGCTGCGTTGGAAAGGCTTCCAAGGCTAGGGAACTTTATTAAGTTCTGCTGTACTCGGCCCTAGTCAAACCATGTCTGGAGTAATGTATTCGTTTCAGGGTGCCACATTGTAGGAAGGGAATAGTAAGGCAGAAAATATCTAGGGCAGAGTGGCTCAGGTCGGGGTGGGTCTTCAGATCCTATTAGAGGAGAACTGGTTGATTGACTGAACTAACTGGGATATTAAGCCTAGAGAAGAGCATACTTTGGAAGAGTGAAGGTGGGACAGCACCTTCAAGGACTGAAATATGAGCAAATTGAAATTATCAAGAGACACATTTACACTTTGGATTTCAGGAAAAGCTTCCCAGAATTAGAATTACTCCAAAGTGGAATCAGCTGCCTCAGGAAGTGATGGGATTCCCGTCATGTACGAGCTATCATTCAAGCTTTATGTGAATCCATGCCTTTTTATTACTCCACTGAAGCAGCTTATTTTATTGGCATTGTTTCTAAATTAGACCATGAGGAAGATGCTAAAATATTTTCTATAATGCAGAACATTTCTATATTGTGTATTATAAAAGATAAAGCAGTTAGTTGCTATATGGGAGGTGTTAAGTAGTGTCCTACCGATACACAGTATTTATTACATCAAGAAGAACTAGTTTGAGAGTCATGGTTCTTTTGGAACTGGTCTGATGTAAGCAAAGGAAAATTTAGCTCATTTGTATGATTGCTTTTTTTTGCTTGTTTCTAGTCTCATTTGGAGAAATGGATTAAAATGATTCAATTGAATTGCCCTACTCTTGTTCTGTCTCATCCCCTCAATAGATCTTCTTTAGTGCTGTCTAGTTTTCAAAATCTCAACTGGCAAGACTGTTTGACTTTCAGTCTGAGTATTCAGTCTTAGCTGAGCCCTACTTTGATTTTAGCCTTAGTTTACAGTGGTTTTTTTCTTGTTTTTTTTTTTTTTATCTGAATAGCTGATGAAGAAGCTCCTGATTATGGCTCTGGAATTCGGCAGTCAGGAACAGCTAAAATATCTTTTGATAATGAATATTTTAATCAGGTAAGGCTTCAAATAAAATAGGAAGATTTGAGGTGTGGGGGAGTGGAAGAAAAATGTGGAGAGAAAATTCTAGAAGTTGGACCAAAAATTCTTTACTATTGGTAACTGCAGAACAACTGGGAAGTTGTCAGCAAGTTTTAACTTACCATTACCAGCAATTGTTATTAGCTTAGCATTGTTAAACCAATGCTGGTTCCAATCCTGATCAGTCTGCCTCCTTTTTCCATATCCTTCTCAAACAGGGGAAAGTCATTTACCTTTAATGTCATTTTTTTGTTTCAGACAGTTTTAAATGTGTAACTTCCAGGTACTTTTTTAAAGAAATAATTTTTATTTTGAATTTTATATTTTAAAAAGTTATTGAATATTACAACAAAACTATTTAAATTTTTAAATGTATTTAAATATTCAAATAAGGACAAGAATGTATTAATAATACTTTTATAATTTCTAAGCTTTTTAATTATACATTTTTCATTCATGGTCCTTTTTTTGAGACATAATAAAAAATTCAAAGAAACCAGTATCAACATGCTAGATCATATGTGACCCCTTGCCTTCTTTTCAGAGTGATTTTTCTTCGGTTGCAATGACCCGCTCTGGATTGTCCCTTGAGGAGCTAAGGATTGTGGAAGGACAGGGTCAGAGTTCTGACATCATTACTCCTCCAGAAGAAATCATTCGAGGGAATGAACCAGGTAAGTGAACAGAAGATGAGGTAGTGGTGAAAGAATGTTTCTAATCCCTGTGAGGAAAGGTAAGCGGTTCCATAGGCAGCTTTTGAGCAGGGTCAGAGGTCCTGACTTTGCCTTCTTGAAGGAAAGTTGTGTGTAATCTCAGCCACGCACTTGTCATTTGTTCCTCCCTAGATTTAAAGTCAGGCACTTTGCTGGATGGGAAAATGGTGATGGAAGGGTTTCCAGAAGAGGTTGGAGACCATCTGAAACTGGGCAGTGCTTTCACTTTCCGTGTGACGGTATTGCAGGCCAGCGGTATCCTCCCGGAGTATGCCGATATCTTCTGCCAATTCAAGTAAGCAAAGCTGTTGGTTATTTTCTTCTCTGTAATTTGTCTGGTATAGGGGTTCTGTACCATAAAACAGAATGCTTTCTTCACTCAGGGCAGAGATAAGAACAAGAAATGTAAGATTAATAGAATAGGATTAAGTTGTTGGTGCAGTGTATCAGTAGTACATGGAGTGAAGAGCAAGAGGGCAGCTGGATCTGTTTTATGATTCATTCAACAGGAAAGTGGCTCCGAAACATTTTTTAAAAATCATATGTCCTACACTCAGTTCTCCTGACTTCTATGCTTAGTGACAATCTTTCATCAGACTACCTTATTTGGTCTCCTTCCCCTCTCTCTCTAGGCGAGAGGAAACAACTCTACAGTAAAAAGGCTGTATGGCCCTCCATAACCATTGGTATAATAAAGGATGTCCCAAAACTTAGGGTAGAGGCCGCTTGGTAGAGTGGCTAAGTAACTGGACTGGAAACCAAGAAGACCTGAGTTTAGATCCTGCCTCTGACACACACTGGCTCTGTAACCCTGGGTAAATCACTTCACCTTTTAGGGCTCTGGATAGTTCTCTAAGGTTGCAAGATGCAGAGAAGGTGCCAAACTGGTAGAAGGAATTCATTATATTTCCTTCAAAACCCTCCCTTCTTCCTAACTTCCCTGATATTGTTAAGGGTATCACCATCCTCTTTGTCACCCAGGCTTCCAACCTAGGTGTCATTCTTGACACTTCACTCTATCACCCCCACATACCCAATCTGTTGCCGAATCTTACCATTTTACCTTTATTTTCCTATATACCCTTTTCTCTCCTCTGACACTGCTGCCACCACACTGGTGTAGGCCTGTATCACCTCATGCCAGTACAATTGCAACAGGCTGCTAGTTGACCTCCCTCCCTCAAGCCTATCCCCACTGCAGCCCAGCTGATCTTCATAAAAGGAAGGTCTGACTGCAACACTCTTCTTCCCCTCCCCCACTTCATTCAATAAACTCCAGGATCAAAGAGAAAATCCTCTATTTGGCTTTCAAAGCCCTTCATAAGCTGGCCCCTTCCTACCTTTCCCATCTTTTTACACCTTATTCCCCTTTATAATATTGTTTTACTTGTTTTCTTGCTGTTATTCACACATGAGACTCCATCTCCCTGACTCCAGGAATTTCCACTTGTGTCCTCCATTCCTGGAATTCTCTTTCTTCTCTCTGCCTCCAGACTCTCCTGATTTCCTTCAAGTCTCAGCTACATTCCCACCTCCTACAAGAAGCCTTTTCCAGTCCTCCTTAATGCTAGGGCCTTCCCTCTGAGCTTACCTCCACTTTACCCTGCATATATCCTCTTTGTACATAATTGTTTGCACGTTGTCTTCCCCATTAGATGTGAGCTCTTTTAAAGCAGGGACTGTTTTCTTGCTCTTCTTTGCATTACCTTTGCTACAGTATCCCTTGCTACCAGCTGGGGCACTAGGAAGCATAGTGGCACATAGTAAGTACTAAATGTATGTTTGTTGAGTTGGAAGTTCCCTATACAAATGAACTCACAGGTCCAGTTCCTGTCCCTCAAAAACTAGGAGAGTATAGGAATCAAGCTTAAGGCTGACATAACACACCCCATAGTTTGTCAGTGCTACCACTTTGTAGCTGTTTCGAGCTCAGGCATTGCAAACATTCCACTCCTTCGTCAGTTTCCTGTGTCCCTCTTTGGTGGTCCCTGAGTCCAGGACAGTTTGAGAATCACTGCTTTAGTCCCATGGTGGGCTGTCAGCTCAATACTAAACTAAGTTTTAATGCATGGTATCAGAAATACTTACTATAGTATATTATTGTTGAAATATCTCCTGTCTAGTATCATTCAGCTGTTTAATTTGTATTAGCTGGTATCATCAAAGCCAGGATGAGGTTGAATGGGACATAATAAAAATCAATCCTTCAGAACTGTCCGATCTTATTTAAGTCAGACCAATGATAACTTTGAAGGGAAAAAAAAGGTCTTTTATTAGTTGGTGTTGACATGATGACTGAAGTTGTTTTTAACATTTTTATCTCTGTCCCTTTAACTCTGAAAAAAAAGCCAGCATCTCCTGGTGACTCTGAATTCTAGGGAAATTAAATTCTGAGAAAGGAGGGAGAAAGGAAATGAGTATTTATTAAGCACTCATTGTGCCATGCACCATGTTTAACCAATAGGGTTACAAATACAAGAAAAAAGAAAAACAGGCCCTGCTGTCAAGGGGCTTACATTCTAACGGAGAAAAGAAAACATGTAAAAGAGGTGAAAGTCAAGATATCTGATGGGGGTGGGGGGGAAACAGGCCACATCATAATTTTGAAATCCAAGAGTCCCAAGCGGGGCTGAGAGTCTTGGGTCCCTCTACAAATGGAGGCCCTGACGGAGTCCCTACAACACATAGAGAAAGATTCACCTGCAAGTGAAAATGACTCTTAAACCTAGTGCCTCATCACCCCAAAATTCCTACCTCTCCCTTTCCTCCTAGTCCCTCCCCCAGAGAGACAGACCACAATGGGTGGTGGAGGGGAGCGTGTCCATGATACACATAGACAATCAGCTGGCTTTTGAGAAACTGTGAGCCTGAATACTTGAGAAGAAATAAATCCTTTTAACACACCAGGCAGGTTTCCAGGTGGAGGCTCAACCCCTGTTTGGAGAGGATGGAATTTGTTGGAAGTATCCACATGCCCACACATGACTAAGACTTGGATCCAAAGCACGCAGACAACAGTTGGGCAGTATATTCTACCTTTGTGTCTGTTCCTGGCAGGGTGCTAATATTTCTGACCTAGATGCTGATCCTCTTGAATCATAACTGACAATTCTATAGGCTTTAAGGATTTCAAAGCATTTGATATGCATGATCTCATTTTCGCCTCACCACAAATCAAGGGAAGCAGGTGCTATTATTATCCCTATTTTGCAGATGGGGAAACTGAGGCTTAGCAAGATGAAGGAACCTGTCCAGGGTTGTGTAACTAGCGAGCATGTAAAGCAGTATTTAAACCCACATCCCTTAAATCCTGAGGCAGTATACTTGCAGTTTGGTCAGTGGGGTGAAATAGATATAGTCCTGGAGTAGTGGTCAGGGATCAAATAGAACTTCTGACACTCAAGGTCTTTCTGAGTTATGATTCCCAGCTCACTTTATCTATGAATTATGGCTATGTAATAATAATAATGGAGGCAGTTTCAAGATGGCAGAGTAGCAGGAAGAAGTACATCACCACATTTCCACAAAGATCTAAAAACATGTCAGACCAAATGGGGAAATCCAAGAAAAAGTTACTGGTGACTAGGAGAAAGAACCATGCAGGGTCTTCCAGGACCCAGAGACTAAAAGAGGGTTGAGAATGGGCGCCAGGGTAGAAAGAGATCCCAGGGTATTCTTGAACTAGGACAGGGTGCAGGGATGGGTGCCATCTAGGATCTCCATTGCCTTGTACCAAATTCTAGGTCACAGATCCACGGCAGACTAAAAGGAGGGGACCTGCATTTAAGGGGTGGCAGAAAGGAGCTATCGTGGTGTAGGCCATAGACCCTGGCTATGTAACAAGTACCCAAGTCAACAGTATCAGTGTGGCTATGATCCCAGGAGCAGAGTAGGGATTCAGTTCTAGACTCCAACCCAGGCTGAAGCCTGCAGAGTCCCAGACCAAAGGGGAGCCAGCAGTTCAGTCCCTCTGAACCTCTAGAGTGGTTGAGTCCAGCAGCACTCTACTAGCACTTCCAACCAGAGACAATCAGCATGCCTAAATCTGGGTCAAGAACTTGAAGAGCTCAGACCAAAAAGGCAGTGAACAGACTTTGCCCCAGATGACCTCTCTTTGAGAGCCCTGAAAGTTTTCAAGTACTCAGCTCAAGCTGTGAAAGTAATAGAAAAATGTAAGAGGGCAAAAACTCAGCCCAGACATTCCCCCCAGAAGTGTGTATAGCCCAGCCCTAAAACAAAATTCAAAGTCAAGTAGTAGGCTAGAAGGAGCCAAAACGAAACCAAAAAAATAGAATCCCACCGTGAAGAGCTCTTATAGTGACATGGATGCTCAAACTGCAAACTGAGATAAAGAGAATGACTTACAAACATCTTAATGACTTAAAAATATTACTTCCAGAGCTTCAAAGAGAAGTGCAGCTTGGACAGATACCCAAGCAGAATTTTGAGTATGGTAACCTACTGATTGATAAACCCCAGAATTCTAGCTATTGAGGCAAGAACTCATCATTCAATAAAAACTGTTGGGAAAACTGTAAAGTAGTTTGACAGAAGCTACAGATAGACCAACATCTACACAGTATACCAAGATGAACTCAAAACAAGTTCGCAATTTAGACAAAAAGGGTGACATAACAGATCTATAGATAGCTAAAGAGTTCATGACCAAACGAGATAGAGAAGTTCACAGGAGGTTACATGTACAGTTTTGATTATAAAAAATTAAAATTTTTACACAGACAAAATCCCTACGGCTAAAATTAGAAAGGAATCAGGAAATTAAGAAAAAGTACAGCAAGTATCTTTAATGAAGTTTTCATTTATTAGATATATTAATTCAATGTAGTATTAAGCGCCTACTCTGTGCCAGGTAGTGTGCTAAGGGCTGTTGATACAAAAAGAGGCAAAAGACATTCCCTGCTCTCAAAGAGCTTACAGTGGTGGACTCAGTCAAATTTATAAGAAAAAGAGCCATTCCCGTGGTGAGAAATGGTCAAAGCATATGAACAGGCAGTTTTTAGAGGAAAAAATTCAAGCTACCAACAGCTATATGAACAAAATGTTCTAGATCACTAATAATTAGAGAAATGCAAATTAAAGCAAATCTGATTCACTGCCTCACACTTATCAGACTCGCAAAGTTGACAGAAATGGGACGTGACAAATGCTAAAAGGGATATCAGGAAATAGATATGTTAATACACTGTGAGTAGAGCTGTGAACTAGTCCAACCATTCTGGAAAACAATTTGGATGTATACCCCAAAAGCTATTAAACTATGTATACCCTTTAAACCATCAGTGCCACTACTAAACCTGTATCCCAAAGAGATCAAGAAAATAGGAAAAGGCCCCATGTGTACAAAAATACTTTTGGCAGCTCTTTTTGTGGTGACAAAGAGTTAGAACCTCAGATGATGCCCATCAATTGGGGAATGGATCCACAAGTTATGGCATGTGAATGTGCTGTAAGAAAAGATGAAGGGGATTATTTCATGTAAACCTAGGAAGACACATATTAACTGATACATAGTAAGTGAGCAGGGCCAGGAAAACAATTTGTACAGTAATAACAGAATTCTAAAGACAACATTGAAAGACTTGGGAACTCTGAGCAGCACAGTAACTAATCAGGATTCCAGAGGATTCATGATGAAATATGCTGCCCACCTCCTGAGAGATGGGTGATGGAGTCAGGGCACAGATTAAGATACCTTTTTTCCTTTCTTTTTTTTACATACCTAAGGTAGGAATTTGTTTTGCTAGACTACACATATTTGTAATGGGTTTTCTTTTTCCTGATTTCTAAATGTGGGGAGGAGAGGAAGGTGCTGAAAATAAAATTGAATTAAAGATAAAATAATGTTAACGATCTGGTATATGACTTATGGACCAGTCTCATTGCGTTATAATCATTGTGTATTCTGCCAATATAGTGGAAATGGTATAGAACAATTGAGTGTTATCAGTGGGACTTCATGATCTGCACCAATGGCAAGTGCAATCAGTATTTGTCAAGTACCTACCATGTATCTGGAACTTTATAAGACATAGCTAAGAAGAAGGAGAAAAAGAGAATAAAGGAAGGATAGGGGAATAAAAGTGAGAGAAACAATAGAAAGCTATGGCAATAGAACAATAGAAAATATGGCAAAGAATGATAGAGTGACACAATTTTTTCACCAATGCTTTGTACCCTTGTGTCAAAAATTACTGCTTTCCTCAAGACTGTGAAACTGATAGGTAAAACAAATGTTTTTAAATCCTTTCTCCTCTGGATCTGACTTTCACTTGCTTTGCTTTTCTGTGTTCTCCTAATGGATATTACGTCTTTTATCTGAGAATAATTCATGTACTGACTACTGTTTTCTTCCCTACTTATTTTTATTCCCACTTTCCCCTTAGCAATAGAATTTTCATTGTCTTATGAGTGTAAAGAGTACTCAATATTGGTCTGAACAGTCCACTCTCAATGGATGCTCTATATAAACTATCCCCAGGCATATAGATGCTACTGACAGGCCTCAGTATATTTTTGTACCATCTTAAGCCCTTGCAGACCTATTTTATAAAAAATGATTTCATGATTTTCTAAATAATGACTATGGGACCAGAATGAGGCCATCCAGTTTTCTACTTCACCTAACCCCCCCCCCAACCAATTTTTTAGATCCACTTACTACTGAGTGACTGAGCCCCAGAACAATTTCTGGAAGTTAATTTTAAAGAATGCTGAATAGTTCTGGTATTAATTTCAATAATACTTTCATTTATGCTGTCTTGGTCTTCATATATATGTGTATAAACATATGTATAGTAGTAAATTTGTAAATAATATCCACTTATGGATTCCTTTGTTTTTCCACAATATGTATTTGAAAATGAGGATCCTAGTGACACAGGTTATTGAAAGCTACATTTGTTTTATTCATTTAGCTTCTTACATCGTCATGATGAAGCATTCTCTACTGAACCCCTAAAAAACAATGGCAGGGGAAGTCCTCTCGGCTTTTATCACGTCCAGAATGTAAGTGTGATGCATTAATGTCTTGGGAGTTTGGCTAAGAATGGGTGGTACTGTTTGGTTTACGTTCAGCTTTTCCAGACCAAGGGAAGATGAACTCAGAGATGAGGTGCTGCCCAAGAAGGGGAAGGGAGTGTATAGTAGAGGAAGTGATAGAGGGAACCACCTAAAGTGGTGATGTAATCTTCAGGGCCGAGAGAGGGCACGTCCCAGTGCAAATCAGAGTTAGTCATCTTAGTGAGCAGTATGTATGTGTGTGTGATTGGGTGGTAGCAGGGGCTAATGAAATCTTGCATTAGTTTGAGCTCATTAAATCATTTGTCAATTACTTTCTTCTCCCCAGAAAAATATGGGCGTGTTAAATAAGCGTTTTATTGAGGTGACCATATTCTCAGTTAAATTCTAAGCTATTAACCCCAGTGTCAACTTGTACATAGCAAAAATGATTCTAACAACCTCCAGTCTTTTGTGTTTGACTAGAATTCAGTCAGGGTTCTGTTTCCTGATGATGGATAACCAACCCCTTAGACTGTGTGACCCCTGACTGCACTCTATTCTCAGACTAACTAGAGTAGTAACAACACACAACATATGGGGAGACCTTTCTGGAGCACAGGAGTATGCTCGTCTCTCTCCAGTGTGTCAGTCACACTAATAGCCGTCTATCTGGGAGAGCTTGTTGAGCAGAACACAGCAGAAAAAATCGAGTTTTAAAGTGGCTCTTGGTGGGTGTGGGAGAGGGGGGAGGGCAGGAAGGAGTGTATAAACAAAGGTAATAAAGAAGTAAAGTCTAACACCAAAGGATGCCACATACTGATTCTAAGACAGCTTAGTGGGTGGAAAAGCACTAGACTGGCCATCAGGGCCCGAGTTCTAGTCCCAGAATTTTAATTACCCAGCTATGGTTCTCAGCTTCCTCATCTGTAATAGGAAGGAAGAAGGTGGACCGTATATATAATGTAAATTCTGACACACACTGGCACACATAAAGAAATCTAGAAGAGAGATTGGAACATTTTTGTGGAGGTACTTGTACTGAGCTTGCATGGACTCTACTTAGGGAATGTTGAACTAATACTTTGAATTCAGATTTCAGTGAAGAAAAGGGCCTTTTTTGTCAGTCTTTTCACTTCTTTCACTTGTTTTTTTTCTTTTGCTAGATTGCAGTGGAGGTAACTGAATCCTTTGTGGACTACATCAAGACCAAGCCTATAGTATTTGAGGTTTTTGGACATTACCAGCAACACCCTCTTCATGTTCAGGGACAGGAGCTTCACAGGTTTGGACCAAATGAGTCAAGAGGATTTTTATAGTAGTTTTCTTCTCAGAAAAATAAGAGACCCTTATAGGGACTTAAGGCAAATATCATCCCAACCACCCTATGTTTCCCTTTGTTCACTAATGTTACTTCCTTTACCAAGGCTTTACCAAAGGTCCACCTTCTGAGTACACTTTAAGATTGGCTCAGATAACTGTAGAAAGGGGCTTTACTTGAGATGGGCTCCTCTGCTACGCAGTCAAAAAGTTAGCTATAAATGATCCCTTGAAGCTCAGACTCCAGGAAACAACACTGACTAGTTGATTTTTTTCCCTTAAAATGTTTAAACAGGTGAATGAAAAAAAAATACATAGGAACTGATGTGTGGTAGAATAATGATGTTGGTGGTGCAATAGTGTTTTAATCAAGACAAAATTAACTAGAAAATTCTCACTTTCCATTTTTAGCCAAGAGGCACAAGAGAATTGTCAAAAAGCATTTTAGTTTGGGGCAGTTAGGTGGTGCAGTGGATAGAGCTCTGGCCTTAGAGTCAGGAGTACCTGAGTTCAAATCCAGCCTTAGACATTTGACACTTAACTAACTGTGTGACCCTGGGCAAATCACTTCACCCCAGTTGCCTTACCAGAAAAGCAAAAACAAAACAAAAAGTATTTTAGTTAGCATTTCAATCTAGGAGAAATGAGGTCTAGCATCCGCAGTACTGTGATGAAAACTTGAAAGATTTGCTTAAAGAGAGATTAAGATGATGGTGACATAAGACTCCAAACTCTTTCTCAGTCTGTAGGAAATCTGACTTACTTCTTTTCTTTACAGTCCTCCTCAGCCATCCCGGCGATTCTTCCCTCCACCCATGCCACTCTCCAAACCAGGTGAGAATTCAGTCATCTGTGTGCATGTATATGTTCATCATTCTGAATAGCTTTAGGGTGTAATACAGTCTGATTGCCACTCTTCTAAAGTACTCGACTTTAAATTTTCTGAACAAAGCAGCTGTCCTCATCTTCTGGATCAGAACAATAAGTGTGAAGAGATAAGGTTTTATCCCCTAGACAGCAAAGTCATATTGACCAGCTGAACCACTCATGTGTGCTTCCTATGTGTTTGCCAAATCTTAGCAATCCATCTATCTCTCTTCCTTGTAACTAACTGTCCATTTCCCTGCCCTACCCCCACCCCCATTCCCAGATCCCTGCATGTTTTTAGCTACATTGAAATGATTGAGAACTTTTCTTTGCATAATCAAGTTATTCTGCATGTTCAATTATCTTTTTTTCTTTTTATTTCCTTCCTTTTCCCACACTGTTGTCCCCCTAATTCCCAACCGGCTTTGTTCGCCTTCCTTGTTCTCTATACCTTGGTTCTTCACCCTTTCACCAGACCATGAGAGAAAGATTGAACTGATTCGATATCTCATGTCTGGCTATATGAATGTTCATGTGCTGGACGTATTTTCTGAGCACGCCAGTGCCCTTGCATCTTCTGCCATCACCAGCTTCCAGGACGGGGCTGACCCGCTACCGCCTTATCTCTTTCTGCCTGTCCCTGGCTGCCAGAACGAGAGGGTGCCTAAACGAGATGGTTAGTGGCCAAACCATTTCCACTCTAGATGTAGAACCATCCTAAGCCATTGGTTTTGTGTGGATGAGACACAGATGTTTGTCTTCTTTGGATACTGCAGATCTAACGCACAGTTCATTTAGTCAGGAAGTCCTAAAACATAGCTTTGAAAAAGGTATAGGGAAGTCCCTTCTTGGCTTGTTGTCCCAGACGGGGAGGCTGTACACTTCAAGGCAGTTTTCATTTCAAAGTTCCGTATGTAGAAGTAACTCTGAGTTAAGGGTTCTTTTTCTTTCTTGGATAGCACCATCAGCTCAAATAAGTTGAGTTTGGTGAGAGCACAGATTTTATGAGTAGAAATAGAATTCCTCCATGGCTTCTAGAAGAATTTGAAGTCAAAGGTCTTGGGTTTATGTCACTTTCTACCCACGTGACCTCGAGGAAATCATTTCACTTTTCTGGGCCCAAGTTTTCTCCTATGTAAATGGAAAAGTTGGAATGATGGTCTGCTGAAGTTCTTACCATTTCTAGGAGTATACTATGGTCTCTTTAGTTCAAGTTTATTTTAAAGATAGTGTTTCAGAATTATAACTTTTGGGGAATGGAAACTCTTAGCCACAAATTTGGATTCTGGCTCATTTATTCATTCAAACATTTCAGAGTTAATTGAGGTATGAAATTTAAACCTGAAGTAAATATATAAAATACCTCCCATAGTTTTGTATTTGGAGGTGCAGACTCGACACATGGATTAGGAGAGATCTTTGTGTAAATGGACATTTCAAACTTGAATCATTTTCTCAGAACCATCTAAAAAAAGGCACTTTATTGTAATTCATGCTTTGTGAACCATAAAATATGGTTCTTGAGCAGGGGTCAACAAACTGCTGCTTATGGCCCAGTCTGGCCTCCTCCTGTTTTTGTACAGCTCAACATCTAAGAATATTTTTTTTATATTTTAAGTAAATTTTTAATGTATTTTTAAATGTAAAAAAAAACATTCTTAGCTTTTAGGCCCTACAAAAACAAGTGGTGGCCCTTTGGTCATAGTTTACTAACCCCTGCTCTGGAATTTTTAGTTCTCTGCTATACTTTTGGTCTCACAAAGATGCTTTTGAAGCAAATGGTAGAAAAGATTTAAATTTGAAATCTTCCCACAAAGACACCTAAGTATTTAATGCCATTTGTATAACTTTCATCTTGTGACATCTAGATGTGTCTGATTCAAACATGCAAACTGCACCGTGCCATGTCATGTACCCTTCTTTTAGAACCCCTGTATGCAGGAGTGCCGCAGGTTCCTTGCCCCTGGTATAGCAAATGGAGACACAGATCACAAATGCAGTGTACTGTCTGAAGACCTACCTATCATTTACTCATTTACCTCATTCTCTAGATTAAGAAGGAAAAATTCTGTTTATTCTCTGTATTCTCTGGCTTCATCCTTCCAGTTTTCTGGCCCTAAATCACTCCTCTGGCTTTTGTGACAATTACCAAAGTGACCTAAGTGTCAAAGCCTGCTATTTGAACAGCATACATTTCTAGTAAGTGGCTTTGAGCATGCACAAGTTTGATATTTTCTCGTTTTTCCCCATAAAGTGCCAGCAACAAAGTTGAACACCATGAGCAAAACCAGCTTGGGCCAGAGTATGAGCAAATACGACCTTCTTGTTTGGTTTGAGATCAGTGAACTGGAACCTACAGGAGAGTAAGTCCATCTTAAAATGTTTCATTTATTTATTCTGAATATATTTATTCAGTGAAGAAAAGGGCTTGGAAACGAAGAGCTGTGATATGCGATATCTACAGAGTGCCAGGCCTGGAGTCAGGAAGATCTGACTTAGCTGTGTGACCCTGGCAAGTTGTTTTATCTCTGTCTGCCTCAGTTTCCTCAACTAGAAAATGAAGCTAATAATAGTACCTACCTCCCAGGGTTGTGGTACAGATCACAAGATATTTGTAAAGCTCTTAGCACAATCCCTGGTATGTAGTAGGCTCTATAGAAATGCCAGCTATTATTATTGTTGTTATTGTGGATGTCATTCTATGTAGCCTTGTTTTTTAGGTTCGACTTTCTGAATCCCTATATCAGGAGTTATGAGCTGAACTGGTCATTTCAATGTTGCCTCACCAGTCAGGTGTTCACATCACAGAGCTTTCTAACCACAAGCACCCTAGTGTCTTTCATTGTTATCAGATGGCAGAGGGGGCTGATGGAACCAACCTGAGAGGCAGCATGGCCTAGTGGTTAGGACCCTGGACTTGGAACCGGGAAGGCCTGAGCTCACATCTCACCTTGTATACTTACTGTCTGCTGACTCTGGGCAAGTCCCTTCACCTTTCTGGGCCTCAGTGTCCTTGTCTGTAAAATGGGGTGTGAACTCCGGGATGTCTAAGGCACTTCCAGCTCTAGAGCTGCAATCCTGTTAACCTTGTTGTACTTTGTCCTGTAGTCATGTAGTCCTACTCTCCTCCCACTGAGTGGGTTTCATTGGGAGCAAAGACATAGGAGATTATTCCGTAGAAAGCTGTCAGGAATTTCAGAGAGTTTCCAAAGGATAGGGTCCTCCCCTGGATCAAGAAAACAGACCCAAGCTGACCTTACCACCCTGGGAACAAGTGATGAATGTGACTATTGAATAAAGCTGTGTCTAAAACGTTTCTGCAAACTCGTAGGTCTGTAACACAGAGGAAGGCACTCTAATACATGACAAAGATTGAAGGGAAATTTTAAACTTAAAATTTTGACTCCATAGTTTTGTGTATAATCTTAACCATTTGTGTATAATCTTATAGTTTTATGTATAATCTTAACCATACATTAGGGCAGTGGTGTCAATTTCAAATAGAAATGGGGGCCACTCAACTAAGTATCCCTGCTGGCCACATATTGACTTTGAAAATCACATATTAACATTATCTATATTCTATTGTATTTTTGTTTATTTTGTTAACTATTTCCCAATTACACATCAGTCTAGTTTGGGGGCCACACTGGAGAGTGTTACAGGCCACCGTGCCCCTGTGGACTGCATGTTTGACATTTCTGCATTAATGCACTGTGCCAAGTAGTGGATTGAGTGACCAAGAATCTGATAATGAGGTTCATGTGAAAGGTTTGACTTTAACAAGAGGCAGATCTGTAATACAGTTATTGTTTACATTCTTGGAAAAGAGTGGTTCATCTAAGCAACAAAGCAAATAACCCTCTGGTGAATCCTAGGGCCAGTGCAGACAAGTGCTGTTGAGAATTCAGAGAGGCAGGATGTAGTGGCAATCATTAGGTGCCAGTGGCAAGACTCCAGGAGATTTAGAGTCCACAACATGGAGCTGAATTTAATAAGATGAAACTTAATGGGACACACCTAAGTCTTATACTTGGATTCAGAAAATCAACTTCATAAGTGCAAGATCAGGGAGAGATGGAAATTGTCTACAACTACTAGATGGTAATTTGTCTGAAAATGATCTGGAAATTTTAGTAAACTCTAAGCTCAGTATGAGTCATCAGTGTGATTTGTCAGCCAGAAAGCTAATACGAACTGGGCTACATTAAAAGAAGTCTCGTGTCCAGGATGGGGGATATGTAATAATCCCCTTGTCTTCTTCCCCGGTCAGATCACATTCAGAGTATTAGACTATTCTGGCCCTAAATGTGGCGCTTCCCAAATGTGGCCCTGTCCCCCTGCTACCTATAAATTTTATAAATATTTTATAATAAATTTCATAAATTTATATATAAATTAGAAAGCGCCACATTTGAGGAAGGGCATTGGTAAATTGAAAAGTCTCAGAGGGAGCATAGTCAAGGTCATGCCAGGAGAATTGCCTGCAGGAGCTGGGGAAATTTAGCCTGGAAAAGACAGGGGAGATAATAGCTGGAGGGGTATATAGAGGAACTGGGGATGTTTAGCTTGTAGAAAAGTAAACTTACAAGGCACAGGATAGCTTTCTTCAAGTATCTTAAGGCCTCTCACAGGGGAGAGGTTTGAGATTTGTTCCGCTTGTCCCAGAAGTAGAATTAATAATAATATACAGAAGGTTGGGAGAAGATTTTGCCTTTATGTTAGAAGACAGTTCCAAGCTATCCTCTTGTGAAATGGGCTGACCCAGCATGGATCAGGTTTCCCATCCCTGGAAGTCTTCAAGTAAATACTAGGTGACCACTTGTTGAGAATGTTCTAAAGGGAATTCTTTTTCAGGTGTAGGTTGGATTAAATGACCTGAGGCACTTTTCAACTCTCAGATTCTGTGGTTTTGTGTTTCTATGCTGGAGTCATCAGTAAGGTCTTGAGAAGGTTGGTACTGGTTTGTTTAACTAGATTAATGATCCTAACTTCTTTTTTTTCGTGTCAATGTTTATACAGGTATATCCCAGCCGTAGTTGATCACACTGCTGGCCTTCCCTGTCAAGGAACATTTCTGCTTCACCAGGTACTAATAAAAGAGAGGGGACTTGGGAGCAAGCATAGAAATTGTTGAGTAAAAGAAGCATTTTTGTCTAATGTTCCCTCTCCCCCTCATGACAGATTTCTTTATGGGTAGTGTGGGGAGAGGGATAATAGGATTCCTGTAACTTTTTTTTTCTTCATAAATTTGACTTTTGAATTTTTCCTCTTGCTACTTTGCTATTTAACAAATCCTTGTTATTTTAAATATGATTTTAAAGAAATGTGTTTAATAACAACTTCTGGGTTTGGTGGTGCACACCTGTAGCCCTTGCTGCTGTTCCTAAGTTCTGAGCAGCAATAGGGCTAAAGGCAATCTGATGTCCTCAGTATGTCCAACACCAGTAGCCAATGATCACCAATCTGCCTAAGGGAGGATGAGCTGGCCCTCATGGGAAAACAGAACAGGATAAACCTCCGGTGCTTATCGATACTGGAATTGTGGCTGCTGTGCTTCCAGATGAAGGAGATAGGGAGACCAAGTCTCAAAACAAAAGTTACAGCTTTCTGTAGGACTTTTAAAGTTTTCGCAGCATTTAGGTGTATTGTATCTTAATAATGTATCGAGCAGCTAGGTGGTACAGTTTCCACAAGCACACCTAGTTATTTATTATAGTTTGTACAGCCTTCATGCTGTAATGGTTAAAGAAATTGTGTGCTGCAGTCCAGATTATATCAATGGAGAAAGAAGCAGGGATGAAGATTATTGAGGTCAAACGCCTCCTGTGACCCACAACTGGACTTTTCCTTTGAGGATGCTCTCAGGCCCATTCTGGGAGGGAGGAAGCTCAGGCAGAATGATCTGTTTCGCAGCTGGTGTCTCATTTATACTTGTTTGCACGATGGCTCAGACAGCACCCCCTCCCAAACAGAGGGCTGATGGTACAGGAAAGGGAGGGGAAGCCCCCTAAACCACCACTCTGCTTTCCTCTCAGGGCATCCAGCGTAGGATCACAGTGACCATTATCCACGAGAAGGGCAGTGAGCTACACTGGAAGGATGTTCGAGAGCTGGTGGTGGGTAAGTGTACCCACAAGAAGGAGAACAAATTGAGGGTCACCAAAGAGGTTTTTTTTTTTTTTGCTGTACTTCCTTGACCTTGGTGAAATCTGAACTGGAGAGGATAGATATACACAGAGACACTGCATAGGAACCTTGGATCTGAAATTACTTTTCCTCTTTCCCTCCTATTAACTGCCACGATAATCATTCATTCATTCAACACATACAACACATACTTATTAATTACCTACTGTGTAAAAGCACTCTTTTCAGGAGCTATAAAAGAGTTATAAAAATTATAAAAGCTCCCATTAGGTGCTTGCAATATTGTTGGGAAAATAAAAGCATACTTACTTTGTGCTGTCACACCTCCTCCATGCCTTTGCTCTTGGTATTGTGTGTGCCTGAAATGTCTTCCCTCTCCCCTCTTCCCCTGTTGAATCACAGCTCATCACAACCCAACCACTAACTCTGCAGGAAGTTGGCTCCTGTTGCTGGTCAATAGCCTCTCTCTCTCTTCTAATCTCACATAGCCCTTCGTTTTTTAACTTTCTGATGCACTTATCATGTAATTCTTGTTATAGTTATCTTTGTTTCCTTCCCCTACTAAATTGTAATCTATGAGGACAGGAACCTTATCATCTCCAAATTTTCTGTCTCCAATACGGCATAGCCTCACTGTTACACACATAGTAGACAATGAGTATCTATTTATTGACTTACCTGTTCATTCTTTAATTAAGTCATTGAGTAAGTATTGTCCTAGTGAGTAGTGTACAGAAGTTTAGGGAAAGTACAGATGAGTGTGAACTGGAGTAGTCAGGAAGGGTGTTGTGGGTATAGTTAGACTTGAGCCCTCAATCATGAATACTGTTCAGTCCAATACTTGTGAAGCCCTTTGTAGAGACAAGTAACAACACAGGACGCACTGGAGTTTTTGGACTCCAGCCTCTAACAGGTTCACTCTTGATCTGGCAGCCAGAAGGATAGGAAGACAGCTTTGGAAGGGTTTAAATAAGTATTTACTTTATTCTAGTCTAGTCTTCTCAAGAGAGTTGCTGATAATGAGAATACCAACTCCTACAGCATTCCCTCCCTAATCACTCTTCTCGGCTGGGGGAGTAGGGTGAGAATGGTAGGAGCTACAGCTCCTACTGGTCCCCTACAACCTCAATGGGGTCCAGTTGAGACAAGCACACAGATTCCCCCCAAGCCTTGATGGGGGCCAATCAAGGCAGGTACGTGCATCCCTCTGTACGTTACCCAAATCCCGAAATAGGTTCCCCCCTCACTGACCAGTGCCCATTTGTTTTATGGGGCAACAAAGAAGGAATATTGCCAACATTAAGCTCATAGGTTAACTTTAGCAATAGCGTCGCAGGCGTACATTATGTCACCCCTATATCTCTACTGCAGCTGTGCAGTGCAAGTTGTTTTCTACCCTAATTCTTAGGAAATATTATCTAGGATTCTGGAACTATTTTCTAAAAAGGAGTAACAAAATCCTCCTTACACACACTAAAATCTGCCATACTTACACACCTGCTGTGTGCTCTGGGTTATGCCAGGCCTTGAGTTACCCACACAAAGTTCCTGCCATCTGCTCAGGGGATGTGACATGTACATGGGTGAGTAAATACCAGACAATGTGAGGAGAGAGAGATTGCTAACATCCAAGGGAGCAGGGAAGATGACACCTGAGCTGGGTTGTTAAACAGTAGTGTCGGACCAGATTGTATCCGTGCCAAGTTTTGGAATTATGCTGTTATCCTACAGGAAATGGGGGGGGGGGCAGCGCGACTAGAGAAGGAATATGAATATTGTACATGGGCATTTGGGGGAAATTAATGTGAGGGGCAGGGTAAGGTGAATTCCCATCCAGGACCCTGTGCAGCAGTGCCAGCGTGAGGTGATTGTTCCCACACAGGATTCCTTGCCCCTCATCGCCCCTCGTCCCTGCCGCTGAGAATCTCTCTTCCTAAAGGAAGCGGGTTCAAGTGCTTCTTCCTGCTCTCCCCAGCTGCTGGTGCCCATCTTCCCTGTCAGCCTTTCATGGATTTTGTGTTTATTCTGCATGTAGATATCTGTCTCTATGTTAGAATACAAGCTCGTTGAGGGCAGGAATTGTTTTGTATGTTGACATTTTATCCTCAGTGACTGCCATGAGTAAGTCTTTAATGCTTAATTCATTGATTGATTTAAATGCAGATGGCAGCGGGGGGAAAAAAGAGGCTGGATGGAAGATGTTTTATAGGAAGAAATGGTAGAATTTTGACTGACTTCAAATAGGAGATGAAAAGGAAGATTTAGTGATTATTTTGAAATTTTAAGTCTGGATTCATGAGAGGAGATTGGTACCACTGAAGGCCATTGGAAAGGAGAGCCTGGTCTGTTGTAGATGATGAGTTTGTGTTGGGACACAAGTTTGTAATAAAGATGGAACGTGTATATAGAGTGTTTCCTGCGTGTAGTTAAAAAGACCTTGGAGCGAAAGGCCCTAGAACATGGGAGCTGGAGACACCACGGAGCTGGCCTGTTGTAGCCCATTTAAAGGATGAGGAAATCGGCTCAGAGTGGTTCCCATCCGGGGAGAAGCAAAACCAGCTCGTGGACATGTGTTCTCCTCTCCCCACCACTTCCTGCTCAGCCCAGGAGAGAATCGCGGAAGACGTCACAAGTGGCAGTGAAAGTGAGGGGAGCACGTGGAGAGAAAAGAAGAGGCCCGAGCATGAGAGCAGTCAACCCGAGGAGCCATCCTTGCCCCGAGAGCACTAGAATTTTGAATTGATTTACTGATTTGTGGTCTAAGGAGTTTACTTTTTTGTCTTAGGGATGTATTCTGACAGTAACATCTACCTTTTTCCTCAGGTCGAATCAGGAGCAAAGCAGAGGTGGATGAAGCTGCAGTGGATGCTATTCTCTCTCTGAACATTATCTCTGCCAAGTACCTGAAGTCTTCCCACAACTCTAGCAGGTAGGGCCCCCTGGAGACATTCTTGGGATCAGCCTTGATGAGGACTGATCAGAGTGCACTTTGACCCCTGTGTCACTAAAGGTTCTTGGGGCAGGGGTCTGATTTATTTTCATTCTGTTTTCAGATGTGCTCATGCTGCCAACAAAATAACTCTCTGTGTATATGTATTTATAGTAATGCACAACGTATAGATGGGAAAATAATTATTTTAAGTAAAGTGAAGAAAATAGGGGAGAAGAGAAAAGAAAAAAAATGCCGCAGCATGCTATTCAGAGAGTTGAGATAGAGATAAGGCATCATTAAGGCTATACTTTTTCGTGAAGAGGTTGCTGTGGAAGAGGTACTGCTAATGGCAGTGTTCCAGCAGAGACATATTCCCCCTTACTCCTTCCACCCCTTCAGTGTTTAATGAAGCCTCTTGTGTGTAGCCATGGCTGCTGCTGCTGCTGCTTGGAGGAAATCTTTTGATTCTGCTCATTGCCTTCTTCTTTGTCTTGGTTCACAATGGTGAATCTACATACAGATCTCTTTAACCTAGAATGATTGATCTTAAGACTTAGCTTCTTTTTGTCTTTATTTTTAAAGTCTTTTGAATTTCCTTTTCCCAGTAATGTTGATCTTTGTAAATGTCTTGATTAAATGGCCATCTTCTTTCCCTCTGTCAGACTAAGAGTAATTTCAGGAGTTTTCACTGGGTCCCAGTTTAATAGAAGGGTTTCTCTTTGCCTGGGAAAGGACCAAAGTGTTCACTGTGGGGAAGCCAGAACTTCTTGATCTCTTTTATGGTTAGGAATAGCAGTCTCAGTGTTCTAATATGTGCCTTACTGTTGGTTTCTGCATAACTTAGCTTCCCCTTGTTTGTTTATTCCTGAAAATGTGCTCAAAATAAATGAGCGCGTTTAATTTCTTTTAGATTATTTCCTTTAACATGCTCATATAGGAGCATAACGTGCTCCCCATCAACTGGGGAAGGTGCTGCCTCTCTCTGTATTCTAAGACCCCTTCCATTTTAAGAATCTTTTTGTATATTGATTGTGTCATAAATCAGTGATAAGATAAGTATATTCACAAATACCTTAGGAGAGACAGAGGAATGGAAAGACCCAGATTATTGCCTATGAAGGGCAAGAGGGAGGCAGAAGCTGACTGAGCCTATTCAGCATGTCCAAGGTTGGTAAGCAGCCAAGAGGAGCTCCCTGTCTGTAGGCTGCCCTCTGCTGCCAACAACTGGTATTATTCACCCGTGTCCATCACCATGTTGTCTCTGGGAATACAGTGATGCCTAGGAAAATATATATATGGAAAGAAGCTTGAAGTGCTGGTCTAGTTCAAGGGTCCTGTCAGTGTCTAGAGAGCCTTAACAAGATCCAGTGGTTCACCCATCTTGGCAGGCCAAGAGAAAACTACAGCTGGGAATAATGGATTTTCAAATACACCTAGTCTGCATTTACCTCAGGGTCCCAAGACAGTTAATTGTGTATCTTTTGACGGGGCTTGTGGATACGAAGAATGGACTGACATCTTCAGGGCCTAAGCATTCCCTTCTGCCCAGTCCCGTAGTTGTCTTTCTTACGTTACATTACAGATCAGATCCCTTCCCTCCTTAGAAGTCTCATCTTCACCTTCTACCGGACTCAGGCAGCTCTAAAGAGGGTTAGGGGCTGGCGGGGGGATGTAAAGAGGCCACTCCTAGGTCTCGCCCAGGCCAGGAACCTTAATCAAGCATGGGCTCCACATCTGATCTGGGACTTTGGGGCATTTTCATGGCTAAGTGTCTACACCTTTGTTTTCTAATTATTTTCCCTTTACTTATCAGCAGATTGGTTTTTTTCTTTTTTGTTTTTACTTTTCTGCTTTCTTGTCTTGCTTTTGGCTGCACTAACAAGAGCTTTTTCTATGTTTTTGCAGGCTCTTTCTTGATAAGGATATGCCTAGGTATTTTATGTTTGCTTCTTAAGTGCATAAAGTTTCTTGTTTAGCAAAATGCTCTGCCTTATATTGTTATAATTGTACTTTTAACTCCTAGTGCCTTTCCCTTTGCAAACCTCTCAGCTGATGCTTAAGATACAAGATCTATGTTCTTTTTTTTTTTAATTATTACTCTGAAGTAACTTCTCTTTCTCCATTGGAATTTTGTGATTCATGAACACAGTTCAGCATGTAGATGATTTACTATTTTTTTTCCCACGTGCTAAACTTGCTCCATTTTATTCCTCTCTTTAAATGATCTTGCCCTTAATTACACAATGGGAAACTTCTGAGTAAATTTTATGCTGCTTCCCATTCTTTTTATTTGAAAAGCAAATTGTTCCCAGTCTTTGTTTTAGCCCTAGTTCACAATCCTTCACTCTGTCTTTGATTTTCTGACTTTATCTAAGCCAAAAGCTGGAGAGGTTTGCTGTTTGTTCATGAGATTATAAACTCCTTGAGGGCAGGGACGCTCTTTTGCCTCTTAATTTTGTATCCCCAGGGCTTAGCACAGTGCCTGGCACATAGTAGATGCTTTATAAATGTTTATTAATTGTTCAGTAACTTTAAGTTGTCGATCACACTGTCCTTTCTTGTTTGTCTTATATTGTAGTAGTCTAGTCTGACTGTCTAAGAGCAGAACCTGTGAGAAGGACTTTACTTAAAGTCTTCTTCCTTTGATGATTGAGGCTTCTACCCTGCTGACCCACTGTTCTCCTTTGGAGCAGAACAAGGCCCTGGTTGTGTCATATTGGAAACTATCCATATCTGTGTTTTGCCTAATCTAGGAAAGGGGAGTCCAAGTACCCATTGCTTAAGCTGTCAGATATTTTACATTAAGTAAATAGATTGGCTTTTCTTCTAGTTAACCTTTGACAAAGGTTAGTAGTTTGATTTATTCTCTATTGTGCTCTCGTTTTAGAATAATCCCATGATCCTCTTTCAGAGAAACCTGTCAGGTGTGCCTCTAAAGTCATGAGAGTTTTAGAAAACACAAGCTAACCCACAAACTCAAGGAAGGAGAGTTGTTGCTCTCCCGATGAGGCCATATATTTTTGCCAGCAATAATGGCATGGTTAAAAATATCTTCAGGAGGGCCATTGTAAACTATACTCTAAAACCATTATTTTATCTTTCTCCTTTGTTTCTCCTCTTCCTTTTCTCTCTCTTTCTTCCTTCTTCTCCCCTCCCCCAGCAATCTATCTAATTTAGCCTCCAAAGAAAATTACTCTCCACTAAGTTAGAGTTCAAAAGAGCCCTCAAAGGCTGTGTGGGCCAAGCCCTCTTTACCTAGGATCTCACAGGATATCTCTGAGAGAAAGGGACTTTCTCAGAGGCGTATCTCTAGGAAGGGTTGCACTTACACTTGAACTCGGGTCTTCTGACATGCTGCAGGCATGAAAACACTTACCCTCAAAGGAATACTATACAAAGGGGCTTGCTTGAAGGAGGTATCAAAAACTTCCACAGTTCTTTGCTGTGTTTGCCCTGACTCTTCTGCACTATTGTTCTACATGATGTAAGTGTGGAAATTGACCTTGAATTATAGAAAGGCCAAGTTGTTTTCTTGTGTGAACCAGAAGCTTTTACTTCACTAATTTTGAATCAGGTAACTCGTCTAGTAACACTAAACATAGCCAAACTGGATGTATTAGAAATAATGTAGCCAAGTACAAATTATATATAGTAATATAAGAATTTTCGATATTGAGTCATTGTAGCACTATTCCCATTCTGATGCAAAATGCAGCAAGTCAAAAGAGAAGTGTGCATCCTGGATTACTTGGGGATACTTGAAACTTTCATTAAATTTGAGTTATCCTGAACATGTGAAAGAGCAGAATTTGGCCTTAAACAGTGGTTAATTGAGTAAGAGGTTTATTCAAGAGAGACTTTGGTTTCCTTTTGTTAGGTTCTCTCCCTATCCCTCTCTCTCTCTCTCTCTCTCTCCCCCCCTCTCCCTCTCTCCCTCTCTCTCTCCCTCCCTCCCCCTCTCTCTTCCTCCCTCCCTCCTCTTCTCTCCCTCTCCCCCTTTCTCCTCCCGCCCACTGTTGCTGTTTCCCATACTCTCATCCCCCTCCCCCTTTTGTGTTGTCTTTTCATGCACTTTCATTGCCCTGTCTAGAGTAGATTGTGATGGTCCATGAAGAATTTTAAGTGAAGCTGTAATTATCAATGCAATCAATAGGCAACACCACACTGCTGTGAAAATCTAGACACTGAGGACTCTCGAGGCCTCTTTGGCAGTTGTGGTTAAAGGGGGCAGAGACGTTTAGAAAGTTAGCTAGCAGTGCCAAGGACTTATTGCATCGGAAGGCCTGGTAAAGGTTTCTTTGATTTTGTTGTCATAGGCCAGAGAGGAGGAATGAAGGAATTCTCTGGAAGGATATAGCAATTTACCTGTATGGAGACCTATTGAGGAAACCTTATTCTTGAGCCCTGAATCAGAATCCTTCTCTGGAACTTAAACTTTAGCAACTTAAGAAATAAAGGACAACATTAGGAATTAGTCCAGGTATTGCAGTAACATTCGGTAAAATGCCACAAGTGAGATTTTGGCAGAACTTGAAAGCTATATAATTGTGTCCAAGTGTGTGAGAGAAAACGCTCCTTTTCCACATCCTTTCCACATCCTTTCCACATTCCATGTGTACCCAGAAGCTCTCTACTTAAACTCTCTTCCAAATCCCTTACTGAGAGGTGAGTAAGGTCCACTCAATTTTCTCTGTAGGAATGGGGAAGAGACATGAGAACTTGTTTATTGGTGTCCTTAATGAATAAAGTTTCATGTTAATACAGTTTCTATTATATTAATAGTTGAGTTTCAGAGTGAATTATTTGGCAGGCTAACAAATGGTGTTCTGTTTTGCTAATTCCACTAGCAAAGACTTAGCTATATCCTTATTTGCAAGTGAGTATTTAAAAAAAATTTTTTTTACCCAATCCTGTGGTTTTGTTGGTGTAGGGACCTACTAGAGAAGAATTTCCTTTATCGTGTAATTCACATGCTGATACATATTTGCTCTGCAATTTGTAGTCCTCGGGCACTGAAATGGTTAAGTGACCTGCCCAGGGTTACATGTCCAGTATATGTTAGAGGCAGCACTTGATCAGTGTTTTCCTAACATTGAGTCCTGTTCTCTGTCTACTATCTGATGTTTACTCTCAAAAGATCATTTTCTGTATTTAAATTATCTTTATCATCTTTATCAATCCTCTGAACTATAATTGTAATTGGAAAGTCCATTGAATAGAGACCCTTCTTCTGGCTTTTCTAAGGCCCAAGAGAACTGGATGGCATGTTAGTTGGGTCCCTAGAGATATAAAGACTAGAGCTTACAAATTGAGTATTTGTTTCTAGCTCTTGTTAATAGGTGATAGGGCTACTCATATGTTCTTTCTTCTCCCCACTCTCCCCCACCCCTTGTTCATACTTCTCTCCCCTCATTTGTGTTAATCTCCCAGATCTTTCTATCTCTCTCATAGGAGGAAAACAGGCTGATTACAGACCAAGAATAGTTTAATGGGTCTTAATGCTGATCTCTATGTACCTTTTGCTCCTCAACGTTGCTGGGGATTAGGGCCATGCTCTGATGTGTTTGAAGAATCATTTGTTCAATAATAAACTGAAGGTTTTAGGGGGCATTCCCCTGAGACATATGATAATATCACATCCTAACAGGTGCACAGTATGTTATTTGATAATGCTGTTTCCGGGTTGTAAATACCCATAGGTTCCCTTGAATCACACTGCCTCTTTGTACTTACTTTAGGACCTTCTATCGTTTTGAGGCTGTGTGGGACAGCTCTTTGCATAACTCCCTCCTGCTGAACAGAGTGACACCCTATGGAGAGAAGATTTACATGACCCTGTCTGCATACCTGGAGGTGAGAGGGTCCTGACTTTTTGTGTTTAGTTAGGTCTGGCTTACTGGAGATGTATCCAGACCTGATACGCTGCATCACGAGAGCAGTAAATGCTGAGAGAAGTGTTGGATGGTGGTCTTGTGCCTTTATTTGTCCACCACATCCTAAAGCTTTGTTTGATTGCTTTCTGCTGTGAATTGTCTGGGTGTAGTAGATCAAGGGAAGTGTCATGTCGTGGGAAGAGGGCTTGCCTAGGAGTCAGAAAGACCTGGCTTCATGTCTTATCCCTGTGACGTATATTAGTAGTGGCTTAACCTCTTCAGCCCTTGGATAATTCTCTAAAACCATAAGCAGCAGGCCACTTGTCCATCTGCATGGGTATAGGTCATAGGCATGAAGAACCTGCGGCCTCAAGGCCACATGTGGCCCTCTAGGTCCTTGGTTGCAGCCCTTTGACTGAGTTCAAGTTTTACAGAACAAATCCTTTTATTAAGGGAATTTGTTCTGTGAAGTTTGGATTCGGTCAAAGGGCCACACTTAAGGACCTAGAGGGCCACATGTGGTCTCGAGGCCATAGGTTCCCCACCCCGGTATAGGAAGTTCTCACCCCAGGAGCTCCCAGACACAGATTAAACCGCGTGTGTATCTTTTGTTAACCAAAAGGGTATGAGTTTTTTATAGTTGAAATTTAAGCATGCTAATGATCCACTATTCTTAGAATGTGTCTTTATAGTCGTGGAGCCTGTACTTGGCTGCAGACTAGTTCCTCTATGGAAGCAGCCTGAAAATAATTTGAAAACAAAAACACATTTGAAAGGTACAGTGCTTGAGTGTACATAGTAGACACTCAATAAATACATGTTGATTAGTTGAATGAATTGGCAGATTGTGAAACTGTAGATATGCCCAAAGTCAATGCCAAGACCTTGTGGTCACATCTGTGCTGATGGGCTCCCAAGAACATTGCTATAGTAGTCAAGTCATCAAACATTTATTAAGCTCCTACTGTGTGCCCAGCACTGGGGAAAAACTATAAGAAGCTCACAGTCTAATGGGAGACTTACTACATAGAATCTAACCATATGTTTCAAGAGTAATTGTAAAATCTTCTCTTGCCCCATAAGATTAAAACTTGTCTCAATACAACTTTCCATCTATAGTACTTAGGCCCCACTAATTAATTGTATGTAGTGTGCCTTTATATCAGTTCTTAGCATGTTTTTGTCTGCTTCCAGCTTGACCATTGCATTCAACCAGCTGTGATCACTAAGGATGTTTGTATGGTCTTCTATTCAAGAGATGCCAAGATCTCACCACCACGTTCTCTTCGAAGCCTGTTTGGGAGTGGTTACTCCAAGTCCCCAGACTCGTAAGTTTTTACTAATGTTCCAGTTCAAATTTTTCCTGAAATAATTAAGTTCAATTCCATTTCATTCTAATAATTCCCTTGTTACGGTATTGCAAGGCTAGTACTAGACAGTCCATTTTAATCATTGATAAATTAGTATGATGATTTCTAGAATAGCTTTCTGAAGACCAAATTTACGTTCATACTTCCATTTTAAAAAATGGCCTAGCTAAATGTGGAGAGGTTCCTCGGAAGTTCAAAGGCCAGATTATTTTTTAACTGTAGTGTACCATGAAACCAATTTAAAAAAAACAAACACAAAAGTGCCCCATCCCCCCCCACCTTTTTTTTTTTTTTGCAGTGGCAGTAAAAGATTGGTAGTTAAGAGAATCAGATGTAAAAGGAAAGTCTTACTCATGGGTATAGAAAATTAACTTCATAGGTACAATATGGGGGAGAAGTAGATAGCAATTGGTCTGACAAAGAGCTGGAGGTTTTAGTGCACTGATGGTAAGCACAGTATGTCAACATTGTGATGTGACATGCAAGAAAGCTAATGCAGTCTTATTCTGTATTAAAAGATGTACAGCATCCAGGGTTAAGAAGATGATAGTCATTTAGGAGGAGTCTATTCATTTCTGGGTGGCACAGTTTACTTGGGCACTAGTTAAGAGAGCAGGCACCCAGGACAGTGAAAGGACCCTGGTTCAGTCCAAATAAGGATCAGTTAAACAAACTGAAGGTGTTTAGCCTAGAGAAGGAAAGATTCAGGGATGTTGGCTGTCTTCAAGAAGGATTAGATTTGTTGTGTTGGACCAAGAGGCAGAACTAGAAGTAAATATGCATAAGTTGCAGAGACAAAGTTAGGCCTGAAATAAGGACAAACTTCTCAAAGTGGAATGGGCTAGCTCAGATAGTTTCACCTCACTGAAATCTTTATACAAAGACTGCATGACCATTTGTCCAGTATGTTCTAGAGTGGATTCTTTTTTAGGTATGTGTTGGACTTGATGCCTTCTGAGGTCCATTCCAACTCTTAAATTCTATGACTCTGTAACTCGTTGGTTAGCAAAGATCCCACACTCCTGTACCAATAGTTATATTTTAATACTCATAGATTCTCTAAAAATGGTGGTCCTTAGAATCCTGGTGGACACAGCCCAGGACCCTGAGCCTAAGAGACCCAGAAAAACCAGTGGTAAGCAGACCATTGACCCTGCTTCAAGCCCAACCCCTGAAGCCATTGTCCAGGGAGCCCCCTTTGTGGAAATGTGATCTCATAACTGCTTCTGCAAGTGCTATAACTCCTACCTCCTCAGCAGCCACAGCTACTAAAGTCATGGAAAGGAAAGTCCTTTTCACCTCAGAGTCCTTCCCATCATTAAATGATTCACCATTAGAAACGGGTTATGGTTTTTTGAATGGAAATATGTTGAAGAAGATGCATTACCATTTATTTTGCTGCTGCACTCTAGTGAACACCAGACTTTTCTGACTCAAAGTTGGAACTTCCTGTATTCATTGTCTCCCCATTTGAAATTCATTCAGTCAATAAACATTTATTAAGCACTTACTGTGTGCCAGGCACTGTGCTAAGCACTAGGGCTACAAAAAGAGGCAAAAGACAGTGTCTGCCTTCAAGGGATTCATAGTCTAATGCAGGAAAGCTTCTTGAGGGCAGGGACTGTCTTCCTTTTCTATTTGTAGTATTTTGCACAAAGAAAGTATTTAACAAATGATTTTGCATAACTCTTTGTAACCGTGACCTTTTTTTAAAAATTTTCACTGTGTCTTTGTTAGTACATTCTAGTATATTGCCTGGAATCTAAAACATAAGGCTCCAGCACAGCTATAGATGACATTTGACCACTCTGTGGCTCAGTTTCCTCATCTGTGAAACAGAGATAACAATACTCACACTATTTATTGCAAATAGTTATTTGGGTAAAATACTTTGTATATCTTAAAATTCTATGCAAATATCATTACTATTTCTAAGGTGCTTTTCATTGTCTTTGAGATGGATGATCATCTTATGTGAAAGAGAAATTATTTTTTTTCATATTTCTGTTATGACAATTGATGGGATTGTTTTGATTTGTTTTCTCTTTAAACAGAAACCGTGTAACTGGAATTTATGAACTCAGTTTGTGCAAAATGGCAGACACAGGCAGTCCTGGTAAGCAGCTGCCATTTGTTTGTGGTATTATACTTACTCATGGGTGCTACAGACGTGTGTTGGTAGAATTATGTTGTTCCAGAAAACTAGAAAATGTCCACTTGGGATGAAAGTAAAAATTTTCATAATGAAAATTGTATTTTGTTATAATGGATCTTCTCACAAGTTATCCTATGATGGCTAGTTTCTCTTTTGTTTCTTATACTGCAACACAGTTTTGAAAGTCATCCAGACAACATGATACATATCTTAGAAATTAAAAGGGAATTAAAATGAATTTGCTTTGGAAATTTGACTCCTGGAGATAATTGACAGCACATTAAGATATCACAAAACAAACAAAAAAAAAATAGTATCATTTAGAAAGATTAAAGTGTATTCTAACTGCTCTCAAAGCATATATTTTGGTATAAGTTGATGGCTTTTATCACTAGCCCCATGGACAGAAGGAAATCTTGACACTCTCTGTAAATAGTATCAGAGAGAACAAAAGGGGCTTAGCTGAATGAACGAAAACTTTTCAATCCCTGGTGGATTGTCGCTTCTATAGGAAACATGTTTTAAGTGGAAACCAGAATTTCATATGTTTGCTTCAGAAAAGATGAAACCTTTGATTTGAAATTAAGTCTTTATAGCAGTACTGAGAGATTTGGCGGGGGGGTGGGGTTAATCTCCATTTTTATTGAAACTTCTTTTTTTTTTTTTTTTACCATCTACTCCCTTCCAGAGGGCAATCTCTTATAATAAAGAATAAAAAAGAGGGAAAGAAAACAGCTCAACCTAAACATCAAAAAAGTCTGACAAAATATGCAGTGCTTTTTTGGGCAGCTAGGTGACGCAGTAGGTAGAGCTCTGGCCTTGGAATCAGGAGAACCTGAGTTCAAATCCAGCCTCAGACACATGACACTTAATAGCTGTATGACCCTGGGCAAGTCATTTAATCCCAGTTACCTCACTAACAAAAAAAAAATAATGCAGTGCTTCACAGCAGAGTCCTCAACTTGTGCAAAGAAACTAGGGGAGGCTCTTCTCCTCTCCCTTCTTTGGGGCCAGCCTTGGTCCTCACATTGTCATAGCAGTCAATTTCACTAAGTTGTTTTGTTGTGCTGGCTCTTCCCATTGGCATTGTCACAGTTGTTGTGTATCCTTTCTCTGGTTCTGCTCACTTCATTTTGGATCAGTTCATAGAAATCATTCCACACCTCTCTTTTCCTCATAGCACAGTCATATTCCATTACCTTTGTGTAGCATGACTTACTCTGCCACCCCCCAATCACTGGGCATCTGCTTGCTTCCACTTCTTTGCTACTTCCAAAAGTTCTACAAAGAATTAGTATTTTGATGTGTTAGTTCTTTCTTTTTGCCATTTCCCTCCTTAGGCCTGACAGTGGAATTTCTGGGCCAAAAGGTGGATTAGGGAATATAACTCCAAATTACTTCCCAAGATGGCGGGGCCAATTCACAGTTCCACCAACAGTGTGATAGTGGGTCCACCTTTTCACAACCTACTGGGGGCTAAGTAATCTCTTGGAGAGTAAAATTTGAAATTAAAAAAATGTAGGATTTTCTTTCTTTCTTTTTTTGTGGGGTGGAGAGGGGTGGAAGAAGCTGAATAGAATTTGCAAAACTCCAAGTCTGTGGAAATCAGTTTTGGAGCACAGATTGGTGAGTTAGTGGATCGTCAATTTTTTGTGGACTAGGGAGGATACTCCAAAGTAAAGATGTGTTCTTCTGAAATTTTTCTGTTTTCTCCATTTTAGGTATGCAAAGGAGGAGAAGAAAAGTTCTGGACACATCTGTGGCATATGTTCGTGGAGAAGAGAACCTCGCAGGCTGGAGGCCGAGAGGAGACAGCCTTATTCTTGAGCATCAGTGGGAACTGGAGAAACTAGAGCTTCTACATGAGGTATCAGAGGATTGGGGTCCCTTTGATACCATCAGGGCCTTCAGAGAATCCTCTTTTCAAAGTGAGAAAAATCACAGAAAAGCAGCTTGAGAAGTGAGAACTCCCTTACACCCATCATCTCACATTATAAAGAAATCATGAATTTGTTGTTCACTCGTTCAGTCATGTCCGACTCTTCATGACTCCATGGCCCATAGCTCACCAGGCCCTTCTGTCTTCCACTGTCTCCCAAAAGTCTGAACAAACTCATGTCCATTGCTTCCATGACACTATCTCTCTCATCCTCTGCTGTTCCTTTTTCCTTTTGCTGTCAGTCTTTCACTACATCAGGCTCTTTTCCAACGAGTCCCGTCTTCTCATGATATGGCCAGAGTATTTAAGCTTCAAATTCGTATTTGTCTTTCCAATAAATATTCTGAATTAATTTCTTTTAGTATTGACTGATTTTTTTTACCTTGCTGTCCAAGGGACTCTCAAAAGTCTTATCCAGCATCATAATTCAAAAGTGTTGGTTCTGCAGCACACAGCTTTCCTTATAGTCCAACTCTCACAGCCATACATGGCTACTAGAAAAACTATAGCTCTGACTATATGGACCTTTGTCAGCAAGGGGATGGCTCTACTTTTTAGTATGCTGTACAGATTTGTCATAGCTGTCCTTCCAAGGAGCAGGAATCTTTTTAGTTCATGGCTGCATTTACCATCTGCAATGATCTTAAGCCCAAGAATACAAAGTCTAATACTGCTTCCATTTCTTCTCCCTCTATTTGCCAGCAAGTGATGAGAACAGTTGTCAAGATCTTAGGGTTTTTTTAGCATTAAGCTTTAAGCCAGCTTTCACACTCTCCACTTTCACCCTCATCAAGAGGCTTCTTAATTCTTTTTCACTTTCAGCCATCAGAGTGATATTATCTGCATATCCAAAATTGTTGATATTTCTCCCGGCAACCTTAATTCTAGCTTTTGATTCAGCCAGCCTGGCATTTCACATGATGTAGTCTGCATATAAGTTAAATAAGGTGACAATATACAGCCTTGTCGTACTCCTTTTCTGATCTTAAACCAATAAGTTCCATTTTGGTTCTAATTGTTGTTTATTAGCCCATCTACAGGTTCCTCAGAAGACAAGTAAGGGGAGCTAGTACTCCTATCTTGTTGAGAACTTGCCACATTTTATTCTGATCCACCTAGTTAAAGGCTTTAGTGTAGTCAGTGAAGCAGAAGTAGATGTTTTTTTCTGAAACTCCTTCGCTTTCTCCATAATCCAATGAGTGAATGTTAGCAATTTGGTCTCTAGTTCCTCTGCCTCTTCAGAAATCAGCCTGTACTTCTGCTAATTCTTGGTTCACATATAGCTGAAGCATAGCTTTCAGAATCTTAAGCATAACTTCGCTAGCATGTGAAATGAGTGCATTAATTTGAACATTCTTTGACATTACCCTTCTTTAGGATTGGATGTAAACTGGTCTTTTCCAATCCAGTGACTGCTGTTGAGTTTTCCATATTTGCTGGCATATCGACTGCAGCACTTTAACAGCAAAATCTTTTAGGATTTTAAATAGCTCAGCTGGAATTCTATCACCTCCACTAACCTTATTGTTAGCAATGCTTCCTAAGGCTCACTTGACTTCATTTTCTAGGGTATCTGTCTCTTGATCAGTAACCACACCATCATAGTTATCTGTGATGTTAACATCTTTCTTGTATAGTTCTTCTGTATATTCTTGCTGCCTCTTCTTAATCTCTTCTGCTTTTGTTAAGTCTCTAACACTTTTGTCTTTTATTATTCCTATTTTTGCATAAAACATTTCCTTGAAATCTATAATTTTCTTGAAGAGATCCCTTGACTTTCTGTTTTCTTTTATTTCTTGGCATTGCTCATTTAAGAAAACCTTATCTCTCCTTGCTGTTCTCTGGAATTCTACATTCAGTTGGATATATATTTCCTTTTCCCCTTTCCTTTTCCTTCTTTCTTTAGCTATTTGTAAAGCCTCATCAGGCAGCCATTTTGCTTTCTTGCTATTCTTTTTAGGGGGGGTGATATTTTTATTGCTGCCTGCTGTAAAAGTTCCAACCTGTCCATAGATCTTCAAACACTCCACCAGATCTAATCCCTTAAATCTATTCATCACCTCCACTTCATATTCATAAAGGATGTATATCTATATGGTCTGATGATTTTCCTTACTTTCTTCAATTTACATCTGAATTTTGCAATAAGAAGCTCATGATTTGAGCCACAGTCGGCTCCACGTCTTATTTTAACTGACTGCATAGAGCTTCTCCAGCTTTGTCTGCAAAGTATATAATATATCTGATTTTGTTATTGACCATCTGGTGATGTCCATGTGTAGAGTTGCCTTTTGGGTTGTTGAAAAAGAGTGTTTGCTATAACCAGTGAGTTGTCTTGACAAAACTCTATTAGCCTCTGCCCTGCTTCATTATATACTTTAAGACCAAACTGGCCTGTTACTCCAATTATCTTTTGATTTCCTACTTTAGCAATCCAGTTCCCTGTGGTAAATGTGCCATTGTTTTAGTTTTATATCTAAAAGGTGTTGTATGTCTTCATAGAACTGAGTGATTTTGGCCTCTCCCATCACTGGTTGGAGCATTAACTTGTATCGCTGTGATGTTGAATGGTTTGCCTTGGTTTTTGAACAGATGTCATTCTGTCATTTTTGAGATTATACTCCAGTACTGCTTTACCCTTTCTTTGACTGTGAGGGCTACTCCATTTCTTCTAAGGATTCTTGCCCTCAGTAGTATACGTAATATACTGTTGTGTAAAAAGAACTCCGAATGAAATTCAACTGTTTCCATCCATATAAGTTCACTGACCCCCAAGATGTTGATGTTCAATCTTTCTGTCTCCTGTTTGGCCACATCTGGCTTGCCTTGGTTCGTAGATCTTACGTTCCAGGTTTCTGTGCAATATTGATCTTGACAGCATCAGACTTTCCTTTTGGCCCAGGAGCTACTTGTAATTGTCCTCCACTCTTCTCCAGGAGTGTATGGGACAACCTCTGACCTGAGGGGCTCATCTTCCAGCGTCATCTCTTTTGTCTTGTTAATACTGTCCATGGGGTTTTCTTGACATAGATACCGGAGTGGTTTGCCATTTTCTTCTACAGCGGATCACCTATTGTCAGAACTCCATCCTGTGACCTGGCCGTGTTGGGTAACCCTGCATGGCATAGTTCATAGTTTCATTGACCTGCACAAGCTCCTCTGCCACAGCAAAGCAGTGATCCAGGAGGGGAAATCGTGAATATTCTTCCGTTTATTGTTGGTTGCTTTTTATCTGCTCAATCCAAGTTGGTAGCCAGTCTTAAGTTTTAGATCAGAAAAGGCTATACTGTGGTTGGTATGTTACCCCTTCTTGTCCTTCTCTCAGTGTTCCCAGTCATTGACATTTGCGTGGATGTTTTCAGGTAGAGAAGACTCGTCACTTCCTGCTGCTCCGCGAGAAGCTTGGTGATAGCATCCCCAAGTCCCTGAGTGATTCACTGTCTCCCAGCCTCAGCAGTGGGACCCTGAGCACCTCCACCAGCATCTCTTCTCAGATCTCCACCACCACCTTGGAGAGTGCAGTCACGCCGAGTGAGAGCAGTGGTTATGACTCAGCTGACATCGAGAGTCTGGTGGATCGGGAGAAAGAGCTGGCTACCAAGGTACCAGTCCGCCTAAACGGAATGTGACTCGACATTGTTGGGGACTAGGAAGAGTGCCTTCTATGGGAGCTGCCCTGTGTACTCAGAGTACCAGAGTACTTGGTCTGGTAGCTTTTACCTCCTCGATAGTTTCCTCATCAGAGAATCTTCTAGAGCTTGTGAGTCTATGCGCCGCATGTTGCTCACAATAGGGGATCCTGAGAACTGACAGTAACTACTTCATTTAGTGTCGATGGTTCTGGTTTGTTCACGTTCCCTGTGGAGCTCTTTTCCTTCTTGCCACGTTTGTTCCTCATTTATTAAATACCTTCTGTGTTCAGTGCATTCTGTGAGGCACTGAGAGAGAGAGAGAGAGAGAGAGAGAGAGAGAGAGAGGAGAGAGAGAGAAAAGCACCACATGGATTCGGGGTTCTTGCAGGCGAGCCTGCATGATAACTTAAGGGCAGAATAGGCTGGCGTGAGGGAAGTAAAGGAAAGAGGGTTTCTGACCAGGGCAGGGTGGCCACAGTGAAGGCTTCATGGACGATTGGAAGATGTCTGAGTTGAGTTGAGTGGGGAGGGGGGAGGTGTGGAGAGGAGGGAGAGCAGGGCATCGCTGGGGAGAGTGAGGCATTCCAAGAGTGTACACACTGTTAGACACTTTGTCCTAGTCCTGCCCGAGGTGGAGGGTTGTGGGAGGTGTTTCCCTTCCTGTAATATTAGTAAATTTGTAACTGATTATTCTGACTATTTATGAGTTCTACTGTGGGCTTTAATAAACATACTTTTCCTGTTTCTTGCTGTGTGTCTGGGAGTCTTCTGAGTTTTGTTTTCTTTCTCTTTTCCAGTGCCTGCAACTTCTCACCCACACTTTCAATCGAGAATTTAACCAGGTGCACAGTAGCATCAGTGATTGTAAGGTGAGCAAATTGCTTAAGCCTTAATCATCGTGGTAATAAAGTGATGACTTTTTTCTCCAGCTCACTTTACTTTTCCATCTCCCACATTATCTGTAATTCCTGTCCATATTGCCTTAAATTAGGCGTATCAGTATTTGTAGGGGTGAGTGAGATCAGTCAAGGAATCAGCTCCTTGTAGTTTGTTCTTTTGTTTTTAGGCTATGAGCTTTGATTGCTAATCCCACGATAAGGACATCATTGAGGGACTTGGGAAAAGGTGTTCCCTACCTCCTTAGTGGAGGAAAGTGTTTGTCAGCCATAAACAAAAAGAGGTCGAAAGCCTTATTCATTTCAGTGAGCCCTTAATAAGCACTTCCTGTGTACGAGTGTTAGGCATGAGAGGGACAAAAAGAAAATGAAACAATTCCTGCCCTCAAAGAGGTTTCTCTGGGTGGGGAGGCGGGGTGGGGGGGGGTGGGGAAGGCCCCTAAGAATGTGCTCACAGATAAGTAAATGCACAGTATTTTCAGGAGGGAGCAGCACTGACAGCTGAAGTCATCATGAAAGGTTTCATGTGGGACAGGGGAGTTTGAATTCGAGGCGTCTGTGACCTGGTTTTTTAAAGTCTTGAAATAAATGTATTTCAGTATGATTGCTTTCCTTTGTAATCCTATGTATTTTATCTTGTGCATTTAAAACTATGATTCTGAGCAGGATTCTGTAGGCTTCCCCAGATACCGTCAAAGGGACGTAAGACACGACAAAGGTTAAGAAGCCCTGATATAAGAGATGTCTCCAGAGCCAAACCTTGAAGGAAAATCAGGGGTTCTGAGAGCTCATTGTGAAGTCATTTTGTGACAGAAATTCACTTTGAACTCCTTAGAAACGCGTGTGCATTCCCTGAGTCACGAGATCATAGATGTGGACCTGGAAGGGCCCTTAGAAGTCACTGAATCCAGCCCCCTTTGCTTATTCTGTATTCTTTTTTTCCTCTTTTTTAATGCTGAACTTAATATCAGAAAAGGGTATGAGTCTTTCTGAGCTGTTTTTCTTTACCGTGTTGTTGTCCTTGTTGTCCTGGTTCTGCTTACTTTACTTTGGATCAGTTCGTGCTACCTGGGGTTCTCTGAAATGGTTTCTTTGATTATCGCTTGTGGTGCAGGCAAATCCATTGTATTCATATGCTGCAATTTGTTCAGCCATTCCCCAGCTGAGGGGCCCTCTCTTACAGCTCTCTGCTTTTCTTTTTTTTTTTTTTCCCCTTTTAATTCCCACTTCAGGATCAAGATATTTGTTTTGCTTCCAACTCCTCCCTCCCCAGTCTCATCCTCCCTCTTCACCTCCCCTCTCTCCCCTGCTCCTGGAGGTGCTTCAGCACCAGGCCCTGGTCAGCCCTCCCTCGCTTGGATGTTTCAGAGAGGAGTGAGACTTCTGGAATGCCCTCTTCCCCTGCTCCTTGCTCATGTTTGTATATTCTTCTCACATACCCCAGTTAAGAAAATAGCAAGTTCTGCCCTCATTTTCATGTTTTCTAGAGGCAGCTAGGAGGCACCACAGGGCACAGAATGCTGGACCTGGAGACAGGAAGACCTGAGTTCAAATCCAGTTTCATACACTTACTAGCATGTGACCCTGGTCTAGCCACTTTACCTCTGCCTCAGTTTCCTTAGCTGTAAAATGGGGATTAAAAATAGTACTTGCCTCCCATGGTTGTTGTGAGGGTCAAATTAGATATGTGTAGAGTGCTTAGCAGAGTGCCTGGCACACGTCGTAAGTGTTTGCCAAATGCTGTTTCTTTGCTTCCTCCTGTTATCGGTTGCTTCTGTTTCTTGCTGATCCAACCTGTTTCACTCAGTGACTTTTCTCTTTTTTTAACCATACCAAATGGTTTGGATCATAGAGTACATGGAGGCAGTAAGGTATGAAGCCTGGAAAGGTAGGAAAGGGTCAGGTTATAAAGATCTTTAAATGTCAAACGGAGAACTTTCTATGAGATCCTGGAGGTAATAGGAAGCCCACTGGAGTTTATTGAGCAGGCAGGTGACATAGTCAGACTTTCACTTTATGTTTTTAAGTTTTATTGACTTTATTTTTACATTGCAAACATTTCCAGATTACTCCTGGTCTGTGAGACCTCTGTTGTAATAAAGTAACACAATTAAGCAAGATTAACAATAATAATAATAATAATAACTGACATTTATATAGTACTTACTATGTGCCAAACACTGTGCCAGCTTTTTACAATTATTATCTCATGTGATCCACAATACAGTGACCTCCTGTGACAGTGCATGCAGTATTCCACATCTGTAGCAGCACCCCCAACCTCTGTCTTGTAAAGTGTTTTATTTAAATTAACAGAAATCTATTTTGTTTCCCTTCTCCCCTACCCCACTAAGAAAAGAAAGAAAAACAAATTCCTTGTAATAAATGTGCACATTCAAGCAAAACGAATTCCCTCATTATTGTATTCAAAAATATCTGTGTCTCATTCTGTAGCCCTAAGTCCACCCTCTGTCGGGAGGTAGGGTCCTGTGAAATTATGGATGGTCATTGTTTTGACCATAGTTTTTATAGCCTTCAAAAGTCTCTGTCTTTACAGTGTGGTTGTTATTGCATAAATTATTCTCCTGGTTCTGCTGACTTAATTCACTTATAAAAATCTCATAATTCTTTGCTTTTGTCATATTGACATTATGGTGTAGCATGATCTTATTCTGCTCGCTTCACCCTGAATCATTTTGTACAAGTCTTCCCAGGTCTCTTTGAAATAATTTCTTTCTTCATTTCTTATAGCACAATCTCATCATATTCATATATCACAATTTATTTAGCCTTTCCTCCTACAAAAAAAGAGCTGCTATAAATAGTTTTATACATATAGGAACTTTTTCTATTTCTGTGATCTCTTTTGGATCTAGGCCTAGCAATGAGCTAGCTAAGTGTTAGGGCCCACAATATTTATTAACTTTTTGGGCATAATTCAAAATTGTTTCCCAAAATATTTGTGCCCATGCACGTGTCTACCAATAGTGTATTTCCCACAGCCCCTCCAACATACATCATTTTCCTTTTTTTGTCATCTTTGCCAGTGGGGTAAGAATCTTAGAATTGCTTTAATTTGCATTTCTCTAATTAGTAGTGATTTGAAACATTTCATTCACATGGCTATAGGATGGCCTGGATTTCTTCCTTTGAAAATTTCCTGTTCATATCCTTTGCAAAACCATTTTGGCAGCTGAATGGAGGATGGATTGGAGCTCAGAGAGTATTAAGGGAGCAATGCCAGCTAGAAGCCTATTGCAATTGTCCAGGCAAGAGATGCCAAAGTCCTGAATTAGCTTGGTGGCTGGGGTGGTTGGAAGGGGAGTGAAGGGGACAGAGACAAGATAGTGTGAAGGCCAGAGAAGCAAGATTTGTCAATAAACTAGAGATGTGGAGAGAGTGCAAGGGGAGTCAGAAATGGCATCTTGCTTCTGACCTCACCACTTGGTGTTTACTACTCTTTACCGTTGATTTCTTAATTTCCAAATCTAAGGATCTTTTCTCAGTCCTCATCCTACTGCATTTGACAGTGTGGACTGCCTTCTCCTCCTGCATACTGTCCCCACTCTGGAATTTCATGGCAAAGTTTTCCCTAGTTCTCCTCCTACCCATCTGACCTCTCCCTTTTAGGCTCTTTTGCTACTTCATGAACTCCCAAGTTCCTTTATCTAATTATAATCTTTTATTATTCTATCTTTACCTATGCCTTATGACCCTTAACACCATTCTGTTATCCTCTCCATGACCTTCATTCTCACCACCCCTCATTTCTTTCCTAGACCATCATCCTTGCACCACCTACCTTCTCCTCAGTATTTGTAAAGTATGTAGCATAATGCCAGGCACATGGTAGGCACTGTATAAAGGCTTATTCCCTTCACTTCCCCTCCCCCCTTTCATATCTCAACATTTCAATCTGAATATCCTGTAAGCATCTCAAACTCAACATGTCCAAAATAGAACTTAGTATCTTTACTCTAAAACCCACCCCTCTTCCAAGCTTCCTTCTTTCTGTCAAAGGAACCACCATCCTTCCAGTGTCTCACATTTGTAACTTTGGCATCATTCTTGACTTCTCATTCTCCCTCATTCCATGTATCTAATCAGTTGACAATTCTTGTCATTTCTAGTTCTATAACTTTTCTGACCTCTAATCCCTTCTTTACACTCACATAGCCACCACTTTAATTCAGGCTCTCCTTTTGCCTAGATTATTGCAACATATTCCTGAGTGGGCTCCCTACCTTAAGTCTGTTCCCACTCCAGTCCATCCTACACTCTGCTACCAAAGTGATTTTCCTTAAGCACATATCTGACCCATGGTGAAAACAGAATCTTTTCTGTTAGACTTAAATCTTTCACCACCTGGTCCCAGTTTCTCTTTCCTGATTTATCATCCATTATTATCCCTTCCATGCTCTGCAGTTCAACCAAACTGGGCTTTTCTCTCCTCCATCTTCCATTTCTAGGCCTTTGCACTGGCCATCCCCCTGATAACTTCCTTCTTTCCTATTCATAGTATTCCTTTCTTCAATACACAGCTCCAGCACCTTCTCTTTCTTGAAGCCTCCTAGGGCCCTTTCTCCCTAACTACCAAGTTTTTAAATTCCACGTATATTTGTATTTATTCTCTCTCCCTCCCTCTCTCCCCCTTGTCTCTCTCTGTCTTTCTGTCTCTGTCTCTCTGTGTCTCTGTCTCTGTCTCTCTCCCTCTCTCCCTCCCCCACCCTCCCTCTCTTCCTCCCTCTCTCTTCCTCCCTTTCCTTCCTCCTTCTCCTCAAGAATATGTTACTTATTAAGAAATGCTTGTTGAATATTTGATTGAACAATTTAATTCTCTTTTTTTTAATAACTTGCTAATGCATAAGACTGATAAAGGCAAATTCTAACATTTGATGTTTGTTGGTTTTTTTAAGGACAACTTTAAACTCCTCCTCAGCTCTCCTGATGTTTTGCTATAATCTAACAAATCCTGTTTGGTTTGTGTCTACAGTTGTCTGATATTTCTCCAATTGGGCGAGATCCGTCAGTGTCCAGTTTCAGCAGTGCCACCCTCACCCCGTCATCTACCTGCCCCTCTCTGGTAGAGTCAAGGTGCAGCTCAGTGGACCAGAAGTAGGTACCCCTCCTCCACTTAGAGATAATGACTTGGGTGTCACATGGCAATGACTGGTTTCCTTCTGATTGCAGATTCCTTCTGATTCTCTTTCTTGCAGCATTGTCTTTTGGTTGCTTCCAAAGTGCCCTTCTTTCTCTTTTCTCTTCTAAATTGTAATCTCTTGTGTAAAAAAAAAAAATTTTATACATTGGAAAAAGAATATTGTTGCTAAAATAAATGCTGCATAGAAAAAAATATAATATAGGATAATCCTATATAATGGAAAGGGCAGCTAGGTAGTGAAGTGGGATAGAGTGCTGGCCTTGGAGTCAGAAAGACCAGAGTTTAAATTTGGCTTCAGATACTTACTAGCTATGTGACCCTGGGCAAGTCACTTCACCCAGTTTGCCTCAGTTTCCTCATCTGCAAAATGGGCTGGAAAAGGAAATGGCAAACCACTCCAGTATCTTTGCCAAGAAAACCCAAATGGGGTAATGAAGAGTCGGACCCAACTGAAACGACTGGACAACCGCAACAACAATATAAAATGATATCATAGGATCACACTTGTCCTAAGACCATTCATGCAAAGTTTGCAAATTTAAAAACTAAAATCCATACCCACAGTGAACAAAATGTTATGTTCTTCCAGACAGGTTCCTTTTGGTTGCTGTTTACTTGCATGAGATTCACAATGTGTTATTTTTAAAAGACTATTTGGGATGTGAAGAGAATGGTTAAGAAAGGGAAGAATTCCTTTCAAGACAGCTATTTGGAGTCTCCATTTAATTTAAGTTGTTGGTTTCTCTCATGTGACATCAGTAGATTGGGGGAATTTCTTTGTTTTTAAAACCCCACTTTGAAATGCATTATTTGCAGTATTTTTTGGTCATGAGGATTTGCAGAATAAGATGAGGGGACGCTATTAACATAGAATTGTTTCAAAGAGTACAAATTAATAAGCAAACTTACTGTGGTCATATGGTGGAGCATTGTCATAGGCCCTTAATTAGGCTATTAGTGCAGTTTCTGAAAACTCATACTGCTTGAATATGAAGTTAAACTACTCCATGAGACTGTTTCCAGCTCTCCAAAATTGTTTGGAGGATCTCTAAATCATGATGATACATTGAGATAGATTGTGTTTTTCACAGTGTAATAAAATAAATTCATAACATTACCTTCAAATTTTCATGGAAATAAATAAGGAGTAACTTTAATTTTACATCTCGTATTTCAATTCATGTTTTTAAAGGACCCCAGAAGTTAACTCTCGGGCCTCCAGTCCCTGCTCAGAGTTTGAACAGTTCCAGTTAGTCCCAACAGTGGAGACTCCTTACTTGGCTCGAGCTGGGAAAAATGAATTCCTCAACCTCGTTCCAGATATTGAAGAAATTAGACCTGGGTAAGAAGGATTCGTTTTTGGAATGAGGTTGCTGGGGATGAGGATAACGAAATCATTCCGTAGACTTTCCTGCTTGCCCTTCATATAGGGTGGTTAGACTCCAGCAGGGGTTGCTGTTGCTCTGAAAGCTCTCCAGCTGAGGTCACTTAAGCTGGCTACATTTAGTGCTTGGAGAGGACAGCTGGAGTTTTATACTTCCTATGAGCTGCTTTGGAAGAGATTTCTTGCCTAAATTCAATTCATCAAAAATGCATTAACCGCTAGTATGTGCAGAACACTATGGTAGAAATTGGGCATGTAAACAGAAAACAGAAGAGATCTCAAGCAGCTTTTTTTTGTTTTCTTTGCTAGGCAATAGGGTTAATGACTTGCTCAGGGTCACACAGCTAGTAAGTACTAAGTGTCTGAGGTCGGATTTGAACTCAGATCCTCCTGACTCCAGGGCCAGTACTCTATCCACTGCACCACCTAGCTGCCCCCTTCAGAAAGTTCTTAACAGAACACATCTCCCTAAAACTGGATATATATATATAAAAAAAAGAACTTTCTGAGAATAAAGTGCTGGTCCAGCATGCCCATGGAAATATATAAAATAAGTAGTCAGAAATTTAGGATTGGAGCTTTAAGGGAAAGTTAGGGGTTAAGATTTAGATTTCAGAGTCATCTGCACCAACAGAAAAGTTAAAGCCATAGGAGTAGATAAGATTGCCTTAATGACCCTGTTTTTACCTATTCTGGAGTACTTACTGTAAACAAAGCACTGTGCTAATCACTGGGGATATAATTAGAAAATTTAGACAGATGCTGGTCTCAAAGAACTTTCATTCTAATTGGGGGAGGAAAAGCATGAAGTCAATTTTAGCTGTAAGTTAGATGGGCCAAATATCCATCCATACAGCTATACATACCTACTGCCACACATAGACACATGCGTGTATAACCTTGACTGATGTCCTCTCTTATGTTGGGAAATTAACTTTTCTTAATTGTCCTTCAGCTCAGTGGTATCTAAGAAGGGGTACCTCCATTTTAAGGAACCATATTCCAGCAATTGGGCTAAACATTTTGTAGTGGTACGACGTCCGTATGCATTCATCTACAACAGTGACAAAGATCCAGTAGAACGAGGAATCATCAACTTATCTACAGCCCAGGTGGAATACAGTGAGGACCAGCAGGCCATGGTGAAGGTCAGTACTGACATGTCTGGTCTCTAATGTAACACACAAGCACAGTTGTGACCTTTTTCTTTGTAGCATAGAGAATTGTTCCTTGGTGCCTGTGCCCTTCTGAAGTGTTCTCTCTGGGGAGCCAGTTGTGAATGTGAATCAAGGCATCAGCCAGGGAGACATTTATGTACTCCAAATGTGGTGAAGAGCCACCACAGAATCCAGATGTAACAGGGAGTCCCTGTAAATGGAGCTCCTCCAGATGCTCCTGTTTGTGAATGACATTGGACTGACTGCAGCAAGCCCTGAAACAAGGCAGATCTTCCTAAATGAAATCTATAATTAGTGAAAATTTCGAGTTTGATCTTACTGCCCACTCAGGAAAAATTAAGAATGCCTTTTATCCAGACTATGTTGTACAGATTGATGGATAACCTATAACACTTACTCATCCATCTAGACATCTTAGACAGACATTGCAAACCACTAGTGAACTGGACCCAGAAGAGGAAGACAGCAGACTGGATTGCCTTTGGAAAATTGCAGTAGTGATCCCAAGCTTCTCTCCAAAAAGATCTTTTCATATCAATAGTCTTTGGGTGATATTAGGTGGCTGCAAGTCACGGAATGTTACAGTCCCTGGAAATTGAAGCGAAGGATCTCCTGAAGGGCAATGGTGAAGTATGTGGTAGTTGTAAGCAGGTTGCAACACATTGCAAGCCAGAAATTAGGCCGGATAAAGTGTTGCAAAAGATGCAGTCCAAGAAATGTATGATTAAAAAAAAGAATGTGGGCTGATCACATGGTGAGAGCAAGGTGAAAACTGATGGACAGCTCACACTTTCCACTAGTGTGCTCTCTTTGTCAAGAGAATTGGAGGAAGCCACCCACTCCCCCACCAAGATATTAAGTGGACCTTCTGTGGAAAACTGATAGGAAGACATGGATAGGCGGTCATGAATGGATAAATGAGTGAAAAATCATAATTAAGCCCTTTCTCTAAGCCAAGCCCCACGTCAAATACTGGGGAATACAAATATATGAGTGAAGACATGCTCTGCCCTCAAGGAACTTAAATTCTAATGGGAGAATCAACACATATCATGGGGGTACTTTGGTTTGGAAAATTGTAGGGATCGTGCGTGGGGCCACAGGAGAATGGATTGACACCTCCTCCTTCCAGAATTATGGCAGAGTTGATTTGGTTGTGGTTGTTGGTTCCATAACTGGAAAGGGGGTGGGCAGGGGAGAGGGTACACCATGTCTGGGCCTTGAACGTGATGTTCTGGAAAGAGCAGTCACCAGTCAGGACAGCTGAGGCCTCAAGACAGAACGTTCCCCAGAGCAGTAAGGTAAAGCTGGGCAGGGTTGGGGGAGCAGGGGAAATGTCCAGAGCCTAAGGAGTGAAAGGAAGCCTGGCAGCTGAGGCTTTGCTGAAGTCGTGGCCTGAGAATGACAATCATCAGACATGACAGCAAGACCTGGGGATGATGGGGCTGGCTGCAACAGAGGGCATGATGGCACAAGGTTTGCAATCTGTGATCTGTATTGTCAGAGGACTTGCCCGTCTTAGAGAGATCACCAAACCATTGGAGTGCCAAGTGCTTAGAGAAGGTGTCAAGATGTCCTGCATTAACCGGAGCACACTACCATGTTCATAGAGCTGCTGCTTATCTGCAGGGGGCATTTGGCAAGCCAGTTAACTGTCCTTAGCCTCAGTCTCTTCATCTGAGAAATATGGAAAAAACCTGCCTTTCTGACTCACTGGGCTGTTTTGAGGATTGAGAAAACAAATGTAAACTAAATAATGGCCAACATGTCTATATTACCATGCAATTTCTCAAAGCCCTTTTCATTCTCACAACCCCATAAAGAGGAAAGTACAAATACTATTGTTAGTTCACAACTGGAACTTGGAGCTCCAAGATAAGTCTCTTTCCCACTTATTTGGCCATGCCTGCGCTGGCATCCACCACGGGCTTCTGCAAGATCTTCAGTCCCATTCTAGTCCTGTCTCTGTAGTACCCTGTCTCTGTAGTACTCTGTAGTGCCTCTTGGTTAAAATGTAAAACCCTGGGAAAATATTCGTGTCATTATTAACTCTTTAAGCACTTTCTGTGCTTCTCCTAGACATCCAATACTTTTGCTGTGTTCACAAAGCACCGTGGCATCCTTCTGCAAGCTATCAATGATAAAGACATGAATGACTGGTTATATGCCTTTAACCCACTCCTTGCTGGTACGATACGGTAAGAAATGGTACATTCCTATCTTTCCTTTCATCATTTAGTTTTGAGCCTCTAAGAGCATCAGCATTGGGAAGTGGGAAGTGGTTATTATGAGCTGCTCACCAAGTGTGATATAAAAAGGAGAAAAAGCGTTTAATATTTGAGTCTTGGGTGGAAAGAGGCCTGAATTGCCTGAGACTGAGGTGCTTGAACTCCCCATGAGACATAGCCTGTCATATCCTGTTCTTATATGTATACCGCAAACCCTATTTGCTCCTTCTCTGTCTTATTTCATTGTCTTCATTACTGTTCTTTAGACTTTCTCCAAACATGAGCTGGGAGCCAGATTTTAGACTTTTTTAGTTTTGCTATTCCAGTGTTTGGGTCTCAACTACAAGTCTGGGAGTTAGTGTTGTTCAGCCCTGTGTTGGAACAGTTCCTAAAAAAGCTATTCCTGCTAATCGTGCAGGAGGAAGCTGTGATAGTCTGGGTTCTCTGTCCAAGAGGCCCAAATTGCTGGCTCCGATCCCTGGGAGAAGAGGCTTCAGGCGTGAGTCACAGAGGAGAGGCAGGAAGGGGAGAGACTGCAATCCAACTTACTTCTGGTTTTTATCTGTCTCTTATAGGTCAAAACTCTCTCGCAGACGCACAGGTCCATTGAAGTACTGAGCAGATGCTGCGGAGCCCCCTCCCCCACCTTCAGACAGAGACAAAGGGTCACCACTCATTCTTGTTGTGCTTTTGATGGTTCTCCTTGTTCGTGCTCCTGTGGCTTAACGACCGCTCCTTCCCCAGCGGTCTTCTGGCCTTCTTATTCCCCAACCCTTCTTGCTCTGTCCTCTTTTCATTTCTCTTCTGCTGAGAATACTACTTGTAGCATGTGGTCAAACAAAAGGAAAAGTGGAAAAAAGAGGGGATCCAATGAACCTCCAAATTATTTTTGTTGGGGTGAGGGTGTTCATTTTGGATTATTGATTAGCATTTCTGATCACCTTTGGTGTCTGTACTGCTGTCTTTGTCTGTCTTTGGAAACTGCTCATGACTTTTCTTCCCCTTTCCCGATTTCCAGTGAGGTCACTGCAGTTTTTCCCCAGTGACCTTGAACCTACGGGAAGGGGAAGGGATCCAGCCCTTTATAACTTGGATAAGGGGCCTTACCCTGCCAAAAACCACAGTTCAATTGCTTCTCTGTCTTGTTTTTCTTCCTTTTCTGGCTCTGGTTTATCTTTAAGTTTCTTTCCAGACAAAACGACTGTAATGAGAATTGGACACTTCAGCTCTTTCTGAGAATTAATTGGAGCTCACCTAGAATGAGATTCTGTAATAGTTTAGTTGAAGGTTGGAGGTGTTGGGGAGAAAATTATTTTCAGTAAGCTTGAAGCAGTGGCTTTCTCTGTTAAAGGAAGGTGGCTCTACTGTTGGCATCAGGTAAGGATTGTGATATGTCAGCTTGCATGTCACTATGCCATTACGGTCCAAACCATTTGGGGTGAAAAGAGGTAGACAAGAGTTCTACCAAGTCATCACTCCCTCTAGGTCCCATGCAGCTAGAAAAATACAATCCCTGTGGGCCATAGGATTAGGAAGGAAAGTGGATTCACTGGAACTTGAAGCTTATCTCCTTAGCACTAGTAATGTTACTGGGGTTGCCCTTTGGAATCCATGTATTCAAGTATGAGAATTAGCCAGAAGGGGTTAATGTTTCATTTGTGATGAATAATAATAATAATATTAATATCATTGTTGTTAATTGATGAAGTCATAATTGACCCAAGAAAACTTATCAACAAGGGTGGTAATCAAAAGTTCCCTACCTTTGGTCCCACTGGCCTTCATCCAAGAGGAGGAAGTATATTCCCTCTGTATCCATATATACTTCTAGCTTTGTTTTGCAGGTCCCTGAGTTGAGATGGCCAAACAAAATCTCCTCTGCGGGTGGGCGCGCGCGCGCGTGTGTGTGTGTATGTGTGTGTGTGTGTGTGTGTGTGTGTGAATAAAGGCATACAAAGAAAGAGAAAACAGTGTATGCCTGACCTTGTGAGTTTGGTGTCAGAATTTTTCCTTCCCTTGGAAAGAAGCTGTTTCTTCTTATGCATTCTCTTGTCCCTCCTGCTCTCTGTCTTTCTTCCCTAGAGAGTTAGGGGATCCCCTTAGAACAGAAAAGAAGGGGCTTCCTCCTGAGAAAGGAGGAGGCTGCTACTGTGTGAGGGCATCCTCACCGCTAGGCAACTTCATCTGCTTCAGAGGACAGTCCCTGGAAGGCCAGTGCGATGCTCTGATCAAATGTTGCCCATTATCCTATCTGTTCTTTCATCGGCCATTGAGTTTTACAGAAATGGCAGAAGAGAGCAAAGGTCTCCAGGTTACCTCAGTTAATTTATTAGATGACTGGAGAGTCTTCTGCCACCCTCTCCTTCCTTCCAAAGTAGCACTGGTCTCCACCATAAGCGTGCTTGAAGGCCATACACTGAGACCTCAGCCTTGAGGTTCATGGCACTGCCCAGCAGGGCACAGATAGGTGATTGTCATGGCAGCCAGCATTAATTGCCATCTCTGCAGAGCCGTTCATCCCACAGTTAGGTCTCATCCCTTCAGCACTCGGTTCCCTGCTTCATCCGCTAGAGCTGCCCTGCAGTTAAGAGAATGAGCAAGTCGGAGAGCTTAGTGCAAGAGGAACAGGAGGGCAGAGATTGTAACATGGTATGCCCTGTCTTTCTACCTTAACTGGAAAGAGCTGAAACCCTTTATCATGGCTTCTTTCTGCTTCCCCATCTCATTTGTTTTATTAGCTGTTTGTGGGACTTTTACTGTACTCAGATGTTTCTTTGTTATCTCTGTGATGGACACAGCATGCAGTCCTGGATCCGCTCATGCTGTGGACGGCTTCCTGGGTCGAAGTTCATCTGGCTTACTAATGAATGAAGAACAAAGTGGAAATTCACTTAGGCCTTTCGTGATAAGACTGAGGCTGTTGTGATGCCTAACTCAAGAGGACATATCTGTCACAGGTGTGGGTGGAAAGGCTGAGAGGCAGTGAAATCATGTGGCACACTCAAGTGACTTGGGTTTAGTTTTGGTTTATTTTGTTTTTGGTTTGTTTTATTTTTTTAAGTAGAAAACTCTAGTTGGGAAAGTCTTTGCCTTGGGTAAGTCAGATGAGTTAACTGAATTACACATCTACACTGATCTATACCAATCACAGCTGAGACCTATGTTTGAAAGCAAGGGGAACAGCGCCATCCTGTGGTGGGGACCAGGACAGGTGCGTAGCTTCTTTTCCCTATTGAAACTACTTTGGCCCTCCCACCTGGCTGTCAGGCACAGCTTCTGTGTCTCCTTTTCTACAAGGGACCCATTTTATGTCTGGAGACTTGGACTTGAAGAACTAGGCTGGCACCACTCCTAGGTCCTCAGGAAGTGGGTCTAGTGGCAGCGATTGCCATATGATGTTTTGAGTAGAGAAATCCAACTGCAGTCACAGAGGTGGAAATATAAAGGGATTTTAAGTTACTTGTTGTTCAGATTTTCATAAGGCGATCCAGATTAACCTTAGATCCTTTAAAAAAAACACCCTGAGAATTAAAAGGGAATATGTGATGGTTAAAAACCAGTCACTGTTTCCTCTCCTTTCCTTGTCCTCTCTTACCTGCTCATACCTCCTTCCCCTTAAAAAAGCAACAGCTGGTGTTCAGAAATGCTACCTGATTCTGTGCAGCCTGCTTGGGAGTCAGCCAGCTCTCAGGTCAGGGACCAGGCCAGGGGCCAGCCAACCCACTGACTGTGGCCACCAGCACAGAGTAGGTAACTAGGTCTGAACACTCGTCTTCAATAATGACCTGGAATTCCTAAATTGGATTTTTTAAAATTATCGAATTATATAAGAAATGATTATCCCTTAACCAAGAAACACCACATGACATTTGTGGCTTTTCTGCAGCTACATAAAATTTATGAACCACTTAACACTTTACTTTTTTTTCTATCCCAAGATAAAGGAGAGGGAAATAAAATCATTGTAAAAGGTCTTTTTCAGACCAAAAAAAAGTTACTTTCCTGGCACATATTTCAAAGCAAAGACTTTGCTGCCTGCTGCTTATTATCTAATTTACAGGGATATTTAACTTTGTTTTGTAATGTATTGTATATTTACACATCTGTAATTAATTGCACATTAGACTGGAAAAAAAGGATTATCCAGAGGTTAGCACTGATTGGTGTTCTGCGTTTGACTCCTACTGCCTGGCTACCACTCTATTTCTATTGTACAGCATCAATTCTTCCATTCTTGTGGGCCTTTGTCTTTTCTTTTAGTTTTGTTCTCTTTTTAAAGGCCAGTTGTTAACCTGCTTCTTAAAAAGAGACTAATGCTGCTGTTCTTGGAAGGTTTGCTGAATGAATGTATTTGAAATAGGACTCTAACTTGTGTGCATTGCATCTGTCCACTGTGGCTACTAATTAATTACCCAATGTTCCAAGTCGTTACTGTATGTACTGGGAATGTATTAACTTTGTGCTTCCTTGTTAAACAGAAACATCAGCTGTTCAATAAAGAGAGAGTTTTGTTGTTCAAAAGGCCATTTATGGAATTTTGGTCCAAGTCCCATAAGAAATTTAGGAAAACTGGCAGTTATTTAAGAAAAAGAAAACTTCTGTAACTGACACTAAGTTTCTCTCCAAAACCTACAGCCAAACAGCTGTGCTCAAATGGAAAGCTAGAGTAATGTTGGTGTTTCGCCACACCCTTGCTGCCATGTTGTTTTCTCACGTCTGGCATCAGTTGACCTAACTGGTTCCATCAACACTCATGTGTTTTGTGTATTTTAGATGTTGTTGCTAAAAATGCTGTTACCCTTGAACCCATCTCCCATTGCCATCCTCTCAACCCAACAACAAAAACCATAAAGCATAAGTGGCCTTCTTGAACCAATACTTTGTAAACTGATCTCTCCCCAGTGAAGGAATCAAGCACATTAGCAATGATGTACATTATTAATTTCAGATTTTCATTTCATGTTTTATTTTGTAAATATATCTGACGTTTGGAGCTTCAGTATCCAAAATGTAAATATAGTTCATGTATTTGTACTAATTCTGATTCATTTGCTGGATAGCCTTAGATGTGCAATGCAGACATTAAATAACTGTGTATGGTAACCTTGCACCATGGAACTGTTAGTGAACGAGGTAAAATAATAAAGGTACAACCAGTGCATTCAGGCTCCCTGTGTGATTCATTCTGTGCTTCCCGTGCTAAGGCATTGCCACAGATGTTCTCGTCTCGATTTCCAGGGTCATCCTTTCACCTGGACCCAAATCACCAGGCGTGCCCTTATAACTTTTGTTTGTTTGTTTGTTTAGAAGATCAGCGTGCCCACAGTGGGCATTATTATAGCTCAGAAACCGGAATATCTGCCTGAATGTTCTGCTTATTATTCCTTTTGATTCTTCAAAGGCCTTTATTTTATTGTTTGGGAAATGTCACGGCTCAATTAATAGAACATCCACTATGTTCAGAACATAGTGGCAGGACAAAAGCAATAATAGAAAGTAATCATTGGTGCAGTAGATGGAGTGCTGGGACTGGAGTGAGGAAGACTCATCTTTGTGAGTTCAAATCCATCCTCAGACACTTACAGCTGGGTGACCCTGGGCAAGTCACTTTACCCTGTTGCCTCAGTTTCCTCATCTGTAAAATGTGCAGGAGAAGGAACTGGCAAACCACTCCAGTATCTTTGCCAAGAAAACCCCAAATGGGGTCATGAAGAGTTGGACAAGACTAAAACAACTCAACAAAAAATAATTGCAGACTTGTCAGTCCCTGCTCTTGAGGAGTTTATATGGACCTTTGGGGACTAAATCAGGATACCTGGTACCGATTCTCTACCTGTTGGACATAAGTTTTGAACTCTTGGTTTTTAGTATCTCTAACTTATGCTTTATGAATTTAACAGAACAAAGCAATGTCTGGACATCTCATAGAGATGGTGAAGAGATATGATCCTGTTCCTGAATTTAGCCTGCTTCCACTCCAGAAATTCCCACATGGTTTCAGAAGTGTTTGGGTCAGACAGTAGGGCTGTAGGATCACAAGATTTAGAACTGGAAGGAACCTGAGAGGTCATCTAGTCTAATGCCCTTATGGGAAGGACAATGTACATCCTCCCAGCAAACCTTTCTGCTCCCTCCCTTGTTTCTCATGGATGTTGTCTGGCAGCAAGAGGATTATGGGTATCCATTTGGAAGGGACCTCAGAGCTATTATTCCAACCTCCTCATTTTATAGATGGGCTAACAGGGCCTGAGAAGTGAAGTGACTTCTTAAAGTAAAGCAGGTAACACAAGTAGCCAGTAGCTCAGACATGAGTCTTCTGCCTCTCAATTCAGCCCTCTTCCCATGAGGTTATTCTAGTACTTCTTTCAGTAATTTTTTTTTTGTAGGTGAACAGATGTTGCCACTTTCCCTAAGAAACCTCTTGCTCCTTACTAAATATTTATTCATCTTCACCTTATGTTATTTTTTAGCCCTTTACTCTGAAGTCATAATAATAGCAAGTTAATGCCAGAGGTGAGAGTCAACATCTCCCCCCACCTCCCAGTGGTATGTTCATATTCTCTTAGATAATTCCTTTTTTAGGGTTCAGGGCCCCTGGGATATTTGTGCCGTGCCACTGTTTGTTACTTGTAAATAAGAAGAGTTGTATCAAAATCATGGTTTGGTAGGGATGATGGGTGGGGAAGTAGGGATGGTATGGGTAGAAAAGGCTTTTTTTTTTTTTAACCAACATGGGCATCTGGTTATGGGCTGCCTTCTCTCGTTTAGGGTGACCATGAAGCCATTTTAAAAGTCAGTGTTCTCTTGCCAGTGTCCCTGGTCTCACTGCCCAGGTCTCACTGCTTCCTTACTGAGTAGATACAGCATTTTGAATAAAATTTCATGTGTGGTTCTATTGGTAAAAAAGAAAAATCAGCCACTTGATATGGAATTAAACTATTTCCTGCCTATTCAATGAAAAGGTTAGCCAGTGCTGGCTTAGGTCATTTTGTACAGTCATGTTGACTCAGCACAACTTGATCCCTTGCCAAACTTGAGACTACAGCAATCGATCTGCTTCCAGAAATAGTCCTTTCACATGGCCCTTGTAGGCCAAGCTATAGCACAGGGAAGTAGTTAAAATGAAGCCTAGATGACTTTTCACATTGCCACGGATTTCTTAAAGTGAGTTTGTTATATGAGGAACTTACTCAGTAGTCCACTACTTGCTCCTGGTTCTCCAAAGATGGTGTTTAAATCTTCAGCCAGACGTCACCATGTATTCAAGTAAATGTGTTCCTGGTTCTCTGGAACAAATGCTGACTTTCATGGAGAAAAAAAGTCCTTATAATCCTCCATGATGCAGACAACTCCTAACAGTTCTGCTCTGACCCTCAAATCGACATAGCATAGCGCCATCACCATAGAGACTGTCAAGTCATAATGAGGGTTTATCTCATTTAGAATAGTCATTGAAAAGGAACTGCCAAGGCTAAGAAAGGCATCAAGTGAGATTAAAGGGGACCCTTCCTGCAGAAGAGGTGCCTAGCCTTGAGAAACAAAGTGGGCCAGGGCCACCCTGGCATAAGAGAAACTATAGGGAAATGCCCTCACATCTTAAAAAGCGACTTGTCTTTGCTGGAACCTTCTGTCTATTAATCTTGTCTTTGGCTGAAAGAAGGCTAGGGTTGAATTCATTCAGGCAGGACCCGCATGTCATGATTTTGGGGTCCCAGCACCCCTGAATCTCTAGACCTCATCAGAAGGATGCTGAGTTTCACTGATTTGGCCAAGAGCAAGGATTGGAATTACATACAAGAAGGCTGGCACCTACAAGTACTCGTTTTAGGAATGGGAGTTTTTTGTTGTTGTTGTTGTTGTCGCGTTGCTGTCTTCTAAAGAGCGTTGGGGGCTTTCCTGTACCCTTAGCCTAGGTCTAAGGTTCTCTCCTCCACCAGCCCCCAGGCAGCGACCCCATTGATTCCCCTCCCACCAACCTTCAATGTGGTGACAATAGAGGAAATCAATATTTGACTTGAAAGTTCAGATACTAGATAAAAACTTGGAGGGGGCCATTATTGGCTTTCCTTGTTCACAATGCCTTGTGAGGTACCCACATGGCTCTCCTCTGGAGCTGGCTGGGGAAGGTATGGGGGTAAGGGGTCTTAATTGTAAATAGAGAAGCAAGGATACAAAACTCTTAACCTACCACTTGCTAATCTGATATCTTTACATTATTTTTTTGTAATCAAGGTCTGTGGTTACCAAGAAGATTGATGTATCCATCTTTGTTCTCAGCCATTTAAGCATTTATTGTTCACTGGCATACGAAGATAAAAAAACAGTCTCTGCCCTCAAGGAGTTTACATTCTATTAAGGGAGATATCACATAAATAATTAGGTATGTATAAGATATACACAGAGTGGGTGGGAGGTAATCTCAGAAGGGAAGGCATAACAGCTGAATGGACCAGGAAAGACCTCCTATAAAAGGGAGGATTTGAGCTGAATCTTGAAGGAAGCCAAAGAAACTCAGAGGCAGAGGTGAGGGGCAGCTATCCAGTATAATTTTCCACTGGGGTTGGTAGATTAGGAATTGGACCTGGGGATTCCTACAAGGAAGAGGAATGTGGGATATTTTTGTAGACACCTTATTATCCATAGCAATATTTTTTAAAATGCTCCAAATCACTAACAATTACAGAAATGCAAATTAAAACAGTCTTGGGTACCACCTTATACCTATCTGACCAGCAAAGGGGACAAAAGGAAAATGACAAATGTTGAAGGAGCAGTCAGAAAAAGCTATATTAATTTACTCTTGGTGGAACTGTGAACTAATCTTACCATTCTGGAAAGTAATGCAATAGAAAACAAATGTATTAAGCGCCTACTATGTGATAGGCACTGTGTTAAGCACTAGGGATACAAATGAGGAAAAGATAGTCTTTTCCCTCAAAGTGCTTCAATCTAATGGGGGAAGGCAGCACACACAAGGAAAATGGAAAGGGTAGGGTAGACTGGAACTATGCCCAAAAAGCTATTAAACTATGGATAGCTTTAAACCAGTGATACTGGGTCTATACCCCAAAGAGATCCAAGGAAAAGGAAAAGAAGGATGCATATGCACAAAAATATTTGTAGTAGCTCTTTTCATGCTGGCAAAGTATTGGAAACTGAGGGGATGCCCATCAGTTGGAGAATGGCTGAGGAAGTTATGGTATATGAATGTGACGGAATGTTATTGTGCTGTAAAAAATGATGAAGGGGATGGTTTCAGAGAAACTTGAGAAGACTTGTATGAACTGATACAAAGTGAAGTGAGCAGAACCAGAAGGACGATTTATACGATGAATGATGACAATATTGCAAAGACGCCTTCGAAAGACTTGGGCATTCTGATCAACATAAATGACCAGCCACAGTCTTAAAGGACTCATGATGAAACATGCTATTGACCTCTAGAGAGAGAAGTGATGGACTTGGAGTGCAGATTGAGGCATACTCACACACACACACATGCGTATATGTACATATACAAGAAAGACAGGTAGGGCATACAGATATATGTGTGTGTGTATTTGGACATGCCTAATGCAGGAATGAATTTGTTTTGCTTGACTATACATGTTTATAACAAGCTTTGTTTTTCTTGCTTTCTCAATTGGTGGTAGAGGGAAAGTTGGAAGAAGAGAATTGAGAGCTGAAAATAAAAGCGAATTTAAAAAACACCCTGCCCCAGAAATTCGTGAGTGGCACTTTTGTATGCTGTGTCTGTGTTGCAAGCAAGGAAAAATAATAGGAGGACCTCTACGGTGCTTTAAGAACTATAAATCAGTTTATGTTACCTCATTTCTAAACATCTTCTAAAGAAGTGTTTCCCAACTCTATTTAGACATTGGTATGTTGAAAAGATGCCTTTGGCAGGTTGCCATGAACTAGATTTCTTTCTTCCTCTTTAGCAGTTTTTGGCCAAGGGAGTGGGAGGTGGAACTAGTGACCATGATGGGGGGTTGGGGGGTGGGCAGAAAGAAATAACAATATTTGCTGCCATTAACAATTCCAGCATTGGATCAGCCCAGCCCCTGGGGTAGCTGGAGCACCAAAACTGAATCGTAAGCAGAGAAAACCCTTAGAGATTTTCTAATGTCTTTTAAGAAGAGCTGCTCATTGAGTGGCTGA